GCAGTCGGCAAAGAGTTCTCCTCTATGGGAGGTTCAATTTTCGGTATTCGTTGTGCAAAATGCTTTTCACTCAGCAAATTCTCTGCCTGGGCTGTGCGCATTGTCATATTGGACTTCTCCTGCGTCTCATACATATCCAATGAGGCATCACTTTTGCTTAATATCCGGGCCATGTTTCGAATTCCCTCAAATTGTTTCTGTATCTCATTGGCCTCAAAAAATCGCTCCAGGCGACGCGTTGAGACCCTGGCTGCTATAATTATTGGTACAGTAATTGGAAAAATCAACAGAGGAACTGTTAGCTGCTGGAAAAGCGCCAATGCAGAGAACAATCGACTGGCGTTTAAATTAAAGTTCGCCTCTTGCGGAAGCCAAACATAAACACCCAGAGTCGCAAATGTGATTAACACTGTCGAAATATGTGTAAGAATTGCTGTTTAAAAACAAGTTCAATAATTAATTCAGTAATTAGTTTATTGTAATTGTACACTTACTCATTAACGTCCAGAATAGGGCATCCTTGTTGAGATATTTGAGCTCCTTTTTGCGTGCCACTTGAATTTTCTTAAAGAACACCTCATCCCAGGCATTTAGCTTTATAACTCGAATGCCCATCAATGTGTCGTGTATTTTTTTTAAACGCTCATCAGTGTATTTCTGCGCAAGTTTATTGAAATGAAATCTTTAGATGTGTATTTCGATGTACATATTTACATACCGCAATAACTTCGCTGTTTTTGGACATGGCATTTCCTATGAGAAATTGCAATGGCGTCATTATTAGGATACACACAATGGCTCCAATGACAGCACTTATGCCCAGCTTGAGATAAAGCAAGTAAATTATCACTGATATCTGGAAGAGAAAGGGTTTCCACTCGTTACACTTAGAATATCTCGGTTACAAACCTTAAATGGTATTGCCCATGCATAGTGGGCGATCCAGAAAAACTGCATTATGTTTAGTGTATCTTCCGTCATGTGATTGGTTATGCTGCCGATGTCATAGGAAGGATTTGAATCTGTCGAATGAGAATTATTAAGGTATAAAATAACTTCTGGAAATGCAAATGAAAATGTTAATGTCCAAATAACGAATACCCCAAATGTAAATATATACATATGTGTATGTACATATAACTGTTACGTTGGATTTTGCATTGAGCACCCTGTGTCATGAATCACAGTAGAATAATCGGTTATGTTCCTGTCTTTGTCGCCGATCGGTTGTCCGCGCTCGCTCTCCTTCGTTTTCTCCTTGCGTTTGCTCTCGTGGTTGGAATTCGCAGCGACGCGAATTCGCCCTTGCTCGCTTTGCACACATTAATAAATTCCAAATTGACTCACCGCCGTTAAATTCCACATTTCCTTGAGTTGGTTTTTCTTTAGCGCTATCATCCGTATTCATCTTATCTTTGGCGTCCGTTTTTAGCGTAGTATAAGTAGAGGCTGATGCAGTTCGGGCTATGCCATTATTATCAGAACAGCCACTGCTTGCATTCAATAGTAAAGTCTTGCGGTAAATGAGACCTTGAAGCGATGTTTTTATCCAGATGCCCGTCATATTGAGTATGTGCGTAGACGCTTGGGACAACGAGCCCTGAGTCAGTGCAGCTAGCAGAACAATCCAGGCAATGCTCCAGCCATTTGTTAACAACTCCGACCAGGTGGCATAGTAAATTCTCACTCTATCAATATTAGTACCGAAAATATCATCATCCGCATCAGCGCTCACATTAGAGCCCAACATAAGTGCATGGAAGCCACTCTCGTGTTTCCCCGCCGATTGCACTGATGGATGAGTCGTTTGGGCGTAAAGCTCTTCTATATATTGAACTATTTGCTGTATTGCAAGTGGGCCAACCAATGCAAATAAGTCTGCAGCCAGTTTAAAAATGCCGCCCAACGCAAACATACGCCAACTGTTCTTTACATAGCAATACCATAAGGATGGGGAGGAGTTTGACTTTTTCTGGAACAAAAAAGGGAAAAATAATATTTGCAGTATCTTTTAGCTAATGAAGGTGCACTCACCACCTCATCCGTGTATATATACAAAAAGTGATCGTAATGCGATCTAGCACTATCCTCCAATTTCATTGCACCCAAATCTTCAAGTTCCAGCGGCTCCTTGTAGCCCAACCACAGCAAAGGCGTTAGCCACCAGAAACTCGATTTCGAATAGAATGTGGCAAACGAATGTTTGTAGCCTATTTTTTCAGGATCATCCACGTAATTGTCCCGAAAGTGCTGCAAAAGTAAACTTAAATTCGTCCTAGTGCAGTTTCCAGTTCAATTTATACCTCATTATACAGGGTGTAACCATCCAACGAAGCCAATAACAGCAGACACACTGCAGACATGCCCACAAGGCACGTCTGAAGCTCTAGCAAATCCTCATAGTAGGCAACTTCTGTCAGTTCATGGCAATGCACAGCGAGAGCCAATACCTCGCAGACAATGCTGGCATACAAAAATACTAGGGGTTGAGCAAACTCTTGATTACTCTTACCTTAAACCACAAAGACAACGCCCCACTCACCCGTCAGCTTCTTGCGCTCTATGACACGATGATAACACATTAGCAAAACTGTAAATGTTGTGGAGGCAAGCGCATTCCATGTTTCTGCCGCTCCTATTATAACCAAAAAATTGGGACCTCTGTTCGTTAACTCAAACAGCTGACTGAGCTGCCGGACACTGCGTGGGGGCAGCAAGCTTCCGGCCAGATCAAGACTATTTCCAGCCAGCATTAGCAGTGACACAGCGGCACGTAAATTGTGAAACATGGACAGTGTTGCATTGCAACTGCATCAAAAAGGGGGTAATTAAGACAAGAATATATTTGAAATGATACAAATAAAACACCAGCATTGTTGCTATTACTTTTCAATTGATCAGAAGAACACAAATAGAAAATTGAAGTGGCATCTACACTTTTTGGGATATTTATGGTATTGCACTCTTCATTGAGTAGATCTTATGGAGTACATATATGATAGCCTCTTTGGCACCGGATATCAATTATTTGTCTTAGGGTGGATTTTGGAACAGATACAAAACAAAATAGAAGCATCGAACAAATTGAACCAATTTAAGATTCTTTTTCTTTTTATCCGTAATGTTAATCAACATATCCAATATGCCATGAGGTCATGTAAGTGGCAATACTCACTTTTCATACTTTTTCCAAACGAAAGCACAGGCAAAAAGCAATAGCAATATGCTTAAACAAGTAACAAGAAGCTTCACGCGGACAATGCCGCAAACATCTGTGTCCAAATTTTCATAAATGGTGCGCACACGACCATTTAAATGATTGCAGTGTATAACATTGAACAACTGCGTCATGCTGACCAAAATATCCAAAATATTTACAGTATTCGGAACTTTACACACTTGATCGTACAGATAGCTCTACGGGAATTTCTTTCACTCGATTTGCTTCATTTTAAAACATTATCAGCCAAATGTGCACATTAGACGATTCTTTTATATTTATCCATAAATAAATTCGATCCCTTTCTTTTCAACGAAAATGTTTAACGTAAACAAAGTGTTCCGCAATCGAAAATATGCACTGCAAAGCCTTTTCATTTGCAATCTGTGTTAATCGAGTAGTTTTGCACACATTTATTTCGTTTTAAGGGAGCATTTTCCGTCGCTGTTCAATTACTTTTAAATAACTTTTCATTTAATATAAACAAAATAACACAGAGATTTCGCGTTGCGCACGTTTTCGGAGAATAAGTGAGGAAGGCCACGCGTGTACGGCGGAGCATGACGGCACACTAAACGAATGATCAGCAGCCGAAAAATCAGAAAAGTGGAGACGATGCTCCACTACCGGGAGGGACCTTGCACATGCGCACAGGAAAAGCTCTCCGATATTGAGAGATTGTTCTACAATTTGTGGAGCTATAAGCCAACTGATCTAAGGCCAGTAACAGTCTACCTATCCCACAACCAGCTCCTTGACATTTACTTAACATCTTAACACACAGGTGTCAAACTCTCTGCGCTCCTTGCGAATTAAGTCTTCAAGTTTTCATCCTGTGAATTTGGCATTCACCTACCAATTTTATAGTGCGAATAGAATCAATTTGTCTTGTGGCTAGCCTCCATTATACGTTTCTGAAAATGCAAAATAAGTACTTCAAGCGAAATTTGTTATAATTTGCCATACCTAACGCAATATATCACGCAGTTCTGGCATGCCCATACGGTGCCTTTTGGCCACATCTTGAGCACGTCTCTTTTGTTCTACTGACTTATTGTAAACGGAAGTCTGCGGATAATTCATATGAATTCAATTGCAAGTGTAATCAGCCCTAATTTACTGGGGGCACGTGTTCCTCGTCTGAGAACCATGGAAATGCATGCTGCTTCGGAGTTGGGCTTTCAGGTTATTCGGATTTAGAGTAGACTCCTATTCAATAACTGTTTGATCCCTGGCCAATTCTGTTTTGAATAGTTTTACATTTTAACTGCACGGTAACTACACATTGGCCTCAGTTTAACTACATATGTGTGTATTTATGTACAAACAGAGACACCTAGCGAGGAAATGTGTACATTTGTTGACAAGTTTCGACGTTTGAAAGTGGAAGCGGCAGTGTACAATCCCACCTTAATCCACTTGTTTGAATGCAACTTTTTTTTAATTTTTCAAAGTTTTAAGGAGAGTATTCGATATTGCCAAAACGGCATTTCTACATATTTTCTACATTGGCGCATTGGTAAAGAGGGTGGCACATACGTGTCCTAAAAGGTTGGGGGAATAAGAAAATGCTTACAAGTACTAAAAAACATAGTCGTCGTAAAAGTGTTAAGTTAACATGCCTGAATAATTGTAGAGATATATATACAGGTATATCATAAAAAAAGTCGACGTTAAAATATCCCGATAATTGTATAATATCGCATAAACGGTCACCCTGGGGTGGTAAAATCGATCAAAAATACCGTCTGCCCTCAAAAATATACCAAAATATAGAGGAGGCATGCATTGCAACCCTGTAACACAGAGTTGCTTTGATCGAATTTTGACGTTTGACGTTGGCCATGCTTCCGCTCTTTCTTTCCCTTTCTTTTACCAACGTGTGCAGTGTCTAGAGGTTAGATATTTTTTATAAATTTCACTTTGTATATGAAAAAGACTGTTTACAATGAACGAACTTGTGTCCTCAACAGATGCCAGCTACGGTCGTCAAGAAACCCGCAGCTAAGAAGCTGCCCGCTGTGCCGGAATCAAAGCTGAAGTTCAGCAAGAAACAAATCAGCAAGCGTGCCGCTGAGTCAAAGCGTCGTCTAAAACGCGCCGCTGTCATTGCCCTGCGGAAGAAGGAAAATCTGGTGCGTGCCGAGAAGTACCAGAATGAGTACATAAAATCTGACCAGCGTGAGATTAAGCTGCGTCGCCTGGCGAAGAAGCGTAACCAGTTCTATGTGCCAGCTGAAGCTAAATTGGCATTTGTCGTGCGTATCCGTGGGTATGTAATTCTGGGACAGTGAATTATTGTACTGTTTGTTTATCCACCTTTATTTATCTTTCAGTATCAACAAGGTTGCACCCAAGGTTCGCAAAGTTTTGCAGCTGTTCCGTCTGCGCCAAATCAACAATGGTGTCTTCATCAAGTTGAACAAGGCTACCATCAACATGCTTCGCATTGCCGAGCCCTACATCACCTGGGGCTACCCCAATCTGAAGTCGGTGCGCGAGCTTATTTACAAGCGCGGCTATGTGAAGCACAGCCGTCAGCGTGTGCCCATCACCGACAACTTTGTGATTGAGCGCAAGCTGCGTCAGGCGCACAACATTCAGTGCGTTGAGGATTTGGTTCATGAGATCTTCACCGTCGGACCCAACTTCAAGTACGCATCAAACTTCCTGTGGCCCTTCAAGCTAAACACACCCACCGGCGGCTGGCGCAAGAAGGCAAATCACTACGTTAACGGTGGTGATTTCGGCAACCGTGAAGACCAGATCAATCCACTGCTGCGCAAAATGGTTTAAGCTTCAGTTTGGAGAGCAATAAGTTGAAAAAGAACGGGCATGTAAACAGTGGACGAAAAATAAAACAATCTTATAGATTACTAAATGCCTTTCAACACAAATTCCGTGTTTGATGGAGTTTCATTCGTTTTTGATTTATACTCAAATGCTAAATCCCGATTTAAGCGTGATTTTATGGTGTGCGGATCTGCAGTCCAGTCAATAATACGCAACAAAGTTGTTTTCCTATGCTTTAATTGTTTTATTATCATTGCTTTAGACAATTGAAATAGCGCGCACAATGCAGAACACTTGCATTAATGCAGATATCAAGCTAAATTGGGTGCCATTGAAATAAAGTTGACTTGAATATACCAACAATAGTTATTAAATACATCATTTGCCTTTCAGCTGGCAGTGTTTTTTAATCAACCCGCGCACACCACACACCACTCCAATAGTTCAAAGCAGATCGCAAACAATTTTGGTAGATTTAAATTCCAATGGGAATGAGTCAAGAAAACGGAATAGGCACCCAGATTACAAAATTTTAATTTAGTTTATTATGTACTACCATTTAACACAAGCCATTGTCGTCCCTTCTCGATTCTCACTGATGTCCGCTGGCATTTGTTGTCGTCACGTGTATGTTCTGGACAAGTCGCTGCCCCCAATACTCCTCCAAATTAAATGGCTTGAAATTTTTCAACTGGTTGTCGGATTCGTTGCAGTAAATTACAGGTGTGCCCTGCTCATAAACCTTTAGAAATTATAAGAAAAAGATTGAGAAACCGAATTTTCTTAAACATATGTAGCTCCGGTGGGCAGTTCATATTCTGTTTCGACCCAAACTTACCTTGTTCCATGCCTCCCGTATGTACCGAATTAATTCGTCATGCTGGGAAATTGGCAAATTTTGTGATGGCGGTACCGCCGCTGCATATATTGCATTACTGTTTTGTGCCACCGTACTCATGACGACGGAGGGGGAGTTGTTAATGCTATGATTGCTATATTGTGTTGCATTTGTTGAGCCAGCTGCCGATGATGTGGAATTTGAATTGTTGTTGTGGTGATGGTGATAATTGTTGTGTCCACTGCCCTGGCGGCGTATATAAGGGTAGCGACTGTAATAAAACAGTAACAAAACATGCATAAAAAGTATATACCTATGCACATTTGTATGTATGTATGTCTATATGTACATATGTAAACAGAGTTTGTCGTCGAAACCACACACGTCAAAATAATCCCGTTTATCAAAATAATACACTCAGTTTTGTAACCTCGCCACGCATTTGTTTTTCATATTCTTGACTTTACCCATTATTGCGTTCCATTCTGAGGGATCTGTATTTAATTGAATATCCCCGAATGTTTATTTGCGAAAATGTATTTATATATTTTTTCCAATGCTTATCAACGAGTAAGTATCGATGGATGCTATCGATACGATACACAGCAACGAGACATTTAAGCAGCGACATTCTGATTAAAACCTGGCGCAAGGAAAAAAACTAAATAAAAAAACAAAGAACATATATATGTATCAGTGTTCGTTCGGCAAACAACTGTTTTTTTTGAGTTCAAAATTTTTAGTAATATTTGTACCTGGTCAATGCGGACTCATCGTCTGCGACCAACCAATTTCGCTGTAGCGACTAAATAAAAAAAAATTTTAAACCTGGCGGCATCATCAAAACCATGTATACACGCAAATCTGCATTTTATAAACATACACTAAAGTGAGCTCATTTTGTGCTAGGTAATGCATTTAAATAAAAATATTTCCGTAAATAATTATATCGATACCTAGTGCTGTATGGCTTGCTGAGAGATGTTGCCAGCATGTTAAAGAAAGGCCGTTTTATGCTGTTTTTGTTGGTTGCCCTTTTTAGTTTTAAACTCAATTTGGCAACATTCCAAGAAAAGGAAGTCGTAAAATCTAGCCATTCTTGTGGAGAATTTATTGATAAATTGGATAAACCTGTTCCCCACCTCCCACCTGTTTCGCACCTGTTGCGAAAATCCTTAGAAGGACGTGATGGTTTTTATACACAAATTTCGTATATATATGAAACGAACCTCACCTTTTCTTCGAAAAAAATAGGGCATGTTGTAGTTTTTCGAACAGTTTCGAAATTTCGAGTAAAAAGTCGGACAAAGTAGTAAAAGTATTTATTTTCGATACAGAATTTCAAAGTTCTTGGCGGGAATGGAATGAAATAGGAAGAATCTTAAATATTAAGACCACCACCACCTGAGTTTAGCCTGCCTATGGAATGGCACAGGAAATGATGTAACTAATTTACCTATAAACCCCGAAACGTCGACCACAAACTACCATATTACGTTTCAGTTTTACAAGTGTTCTGGTAGAATTTCCAAACTGAATCGAGTTTCTACCTACATTTTCTTGTATAAATAGTGAACCAGAATTGTATTCAGTATTCAGTTTTCGAATAGCAACATGGATCTGAGGACACTGCGGATTATCTTCCTTGATCTGGACATTTTCCGAGGACGAGAAAGGGACATCAACCGGAGTTGCAAGCATGTTAGGCGGACGTCGCAAAAACAGGAATTGGCGCGAGGCAAAATCCACTGTTTTGGCGCCCTGGAGGACTACAGGCAGCCGTTTTTCTTGGTCATGGACTAGTACCACTTCCCTCCAATTGGAGGAGCGGATCAGCGCAACGTGTGGAAGGCGATAGCTTTATGCCACCCACCACCGTACCATCCCTCTAACTGTGGCGTCGCTGTGAGTCGTCCAGCAGATGGGAAACATGGAGATCCTCCGCGCCCTGAAGAAGGTGCTAAATATGCTGCAGATCTGTAACCTGGATCACAACTTGATTGCCGCTGTCACCGATGGCTGCTGTGCAAACGAGCAGGCAATGATATACGCCGCTCAGAGATATCCCGTCCTGTACGAACTCCATCGTATGCGGCTAACAATGTGGCATCAATATCACCATTGGGATACAGCCATCGAAATCGAGGAATATGGGTTAAGACTACGGTATATATTTCAAATGAGAAGGTATATTTTGGTATACTTTATCGATAGTGCCGCAGCAAACTCGGGCTCGGAAAACATCGATAGTGGAAATAGTGTACGTATCCTAGATTACCCTAGAAACAATAGCTATAGTGACAGAAAAACTGTAATTCTCTGCAATAGTCAAGGCCAAAGAAGGCTCTGAAGATAAATTAATCAAATTCATACTTAAGAGACGAAATCCACAAGAACATTGCCATTAATGAAGAGACTGATATACTAGCCAACTCAGCCACTAATGTAGGCAAACTATTTAATTTACCCCTAACATTCGAAAAGTTAAAATAAAAGTTCAGACGGAATGGAACAATGAGTACAAGGAAATATAAAAAACCAAAGGAATTTATTTTGCGTCAATTTACATTGAAATTCCTGTCAAACCATGGCACTGGGCTCTCGACTGGAGTGCAAACAAAGCCAGAAACACCAACATTTGCGAAATTTGCAACGTTCTCGACAATGCGGAACATGAAATCTTCTCCTGCCAACGACATGCTATTATCAGAAAAAAATATACAATTATTCATCGCTTTAAAGATCTTAAGGAGTTATTGCTCACAAAGAAGCCTCTTTTATTTAGAGACTCACACCTACACCTACACATACACATCAATCCTATATATTTTGTCAAACTCATCCACACGACCACACTTCAAACTAAGAATCATATTGTTTAAATTATAAGAACATTGCCCGCCCTCATCACCAATCATCGATAGCAAGATTCATCAACAAATATCGACAGAAACACCGAATATTAAAATTTCGACAGCCACATCATCGAACTGAAGAATGCGGACTTATCGTCGTGCGACCATCCATCTACGCGGTAGCGATTAATTACAAAAAAAAAAAAAAATAATAATAATAAACATTACAAAAAAACGAACTGCTCGTGGTAAGAATATATATAGTTGTTTAAAGCATACGCTAAAGAGGTTTTTGTAGGAGTTTCGAGCTTTAAATTAATGAGAATAACTGCACATTCATACATATGGACACAGCTTAAAACGTTCAGTTATAAAAATTGACTTTAAATTGTTGATAGCATTGAAATAATCAACAAAATTTTAAATGTAACGCCAAGCTCTAAATTATGCACTTCAAATGGATACAGTACTCACTGGCCTCCAAATTGCTGCTATACCACACAAATTACACGATAAAAGCTAAATCTAAGTTAGGTTAGGTTGCAGCGGCTGTCACGGATCTTCCCTTTTGCGCAGTGTGAGACAAAAAGTCAACAGTTATCCGATCCTGACTTATGAAGTTTGCTATCTTTATGGGAGACATATTGTGGATATTTTTGAAATATCAGTAATAAAGGGCGTGCTCAAGAAGGATCAGAGTACATACATACATATGTAGGTGTTAAACTGTTTCCTTCCAAGCTGAGGCCCCCATTAGCCAGAGTTCCGTAAGTGAGCGTGTAACTGCGCAGCACCTCTTCATTAGTTAGTTGAGAATATTATGTGATAGAGGGAATTATATTCCTGTAAGGCATAATTTGATCTACAAAGTGGAAGGAATAAAGTTTCTAGTGGGTCTAATGGGAATCGTAAAGTTTATGCGGATCAAAAAGTCGGGGCTGTCTACATCCCCCTTGATCAAGTTGTGCATAAACGAATTTTTCTACGACTAACTAAGGATGGAAGGTTTATTAGAATAATAAGTTTACATGTGGCCATTGGCATACAACTATCCTTCTTGTTTTGAAGGAACTCTTTTTCTGGGCAATCGCTCTTAATTTCCTGGTGACTTGAGACCCATAAAAGGCTAATAACAAATATCTGGGCCATCTCAGTCTAACCTAGTCTAAATTGTTTAATTAATTGGAGACCACATACGCTAAAAGCATGTACCTTCATGTATAAACAACTTTTTCGACAACGTTCAAGTACAAAATCATAAGAGTTTCTCTGATTGTAACATAACCCAGCAAAATATCTTCAGGACGCAGAGAACACGGCGGTGCCTCGGTGGGGAATAATCTACTGGTATTTAACTATATAAGAATGTAGATGTGTGGAACAGCAATGTCGATAAAGTCATTTCTATTTATCAGTCTTGATGACATATAACACACAGCAGATTAACTGCTAATTAACCAAATTTTCAGACAGAAACAATAGTGCAGGATACACCGATTGAGTACATGGTATAAAAGCTGAGATGCCTTTGAACGCTACTCACAACGTTCACGCTCGTTTCGCTGGTTGGTTTTGGAGAACCAAGAATTCATACCTAAAAATACGGATTGTTCCTTAAAACTATAATTTAGACTTTTCCTAATACTTTTACACAAAATTTAAATTGGAAAAGGCGATTTGCTCCAGCTACCTTTGTTTTAAATCACACTATCAAAATTTATTTTAAATATTTCAGAAAATGTCGGGTCGCGGAAATTTGCTTAATTTATTTAGTAAAAGAACTCGCTCTTCGGAAATTTCTTCATCTAGTGAAGATCATGAAAATGACAGCGGGTTTGATGTTGCACACTCTGCTTCAAGTGGAGAAATTCATCGACATTCTGAGAAGATCATTGAAAGCGATTTATTAAAAACTGTTCAAAACTTAGACATATCCGTCGGTCGTGGACGAGCACAGTTAATACAACATTTTAAAAGTAATGACACTAAATTGGGAGGAAGTAATGATGAGACTTCTTGCTCCATTCGTTCGAAAGACACAAATAATGACGACGAATCAACCTCTAGCTTGGAAAATTTGAAACTAAAAAACTTTGGAACGAACATAGTTCATGGTTCTAAAGGTACGTTTTAATTAAACTTTTTGTTATACTTGATATTCGAAGAGTGTTATTTATTGTCTGTCTGTTGTTTCGTCTTGTGTGAGTCGATGCGACTTAGGAAAATTAAAAACAAGAGAAATAACCAACTAATATTATTATTTTTTAGGTTCCTCTGTTATGTTATCATGTAACTACATTGAACTAAAAACTGACCAAAATAAGGGAGTGTATCATTATGAAGTAAGATTTCTCCCCGCTGTGGACTCGGTTCATTTAAGAGTTAAATATTTAAATGAACATATGGATAAGCTTGGAGGAACAAAAACTTTCGATGGCAATACTTTGTATTTACCAATTTTATTAGAAAACCAGATGACCGTTTTTGGTTCCAAAACCATGGATACGGAGGTAGAGATTCGAATTTTGTTTAAAAAAAAGGAGCCTTACAAGAATTGCTTACACTTGTATAACATTTTATTTGATCGTATTATGAAAACATTAAATTATGTTAGATTCGATCGGAAACAGTACGATCCCACAAGTCCCAAAGTTATCCCGCTGGCAAAGTTAGAAGTTTGGCCGGGATATGTAACAGCTGTTGATGAATTGGAAGGAGGCTTAATGCTCTGCTGTGACGTATCTCATCGTATTCTTTGTCAGAAAACCGTCTTGGATATGCTAATCGAAATATACCAACAAAACGCAAGAAGTTATCAAGAACTTGCTAAAAAAACATTAATTGGAAATATTGTTTTAACAAGATATAATAATCGAACTTATAAAATAAGCGAAGTTTGTTTCGATCAAAGTCCTCAATCTGTATTTTACAGAAAAAACGAACCTACGAGTTACTTGCAATATTATAAGCAATACCATAATATAAACATTAAAGACATTAATCAACCATTACTTGTGAGCATAAAAAAGACACGAGGAACTCCAGAGGATGCAGAAAACATAGAATTTCGCTTAATTCCTGAACTCTGTTATCTCACAGGGCTGCGCGATGAAGTTCGTTCTGATAATAAACTTATGCGTGAAATCGCTACATATACAAGAGTCACTCCAAATCAAAGGAAACTAGCACTCGACAAGTTCTATGATAATGTTACCAACACTCCAGCGGCACGAGAAATTCTTGACCGTTGGGGACTCGCGCTTTCCAGAAACTACAACAATCTGAAAGGGCGTCAGTTTGATCCGGAACAAATTTACTTTGCCAATAAAGCTGTTTCTGCCGGACAAAATGCTGAGTTTTCCAAAGATGCTGTTAAAAATGAAATGCTAGATGTCATTCACCTGAACAATTGGATAATAATACATTTTAAAAATGATTTCCGAGCCGCTATGTCGTTACTAGATAATATGAAACAGTGTTGCCGGCCACTCGGAATGAATATTTCTAAACCGACGATAATTTCATTAGATCAAGATCGTATTGATGCTTTTATCGACGCTTTACGTCGGAATATCTCAAAAGAAACACAAATTGTTGTCTGTATATGCCCGAATAGTAGAGATGATAGATATGCTGCCATAAAAAAGATTTGCTGCTCAGAGTTACCTGTACCATCACAAGTAAGCTTATTTACACACAAAGTTTGAAAGCTGCCTCAAGAAGAAAGTCAGATATTAGTTCATATATGAAACATTTATTAATAATTTCAGGTTATAAATGCAAGGACATTAGCTAATGAGTCAAAAAATCGATCTATTGTCCAGAAAGTTGTATTACAAATGAACTGCAAAATGGGAGGTTCGTTATGGACGGTAAAAATTCCATTTAAAAATGTAATGATTTGTGGCATTGATTCGTATCACGACCCTTCTAATAAGGGAAATTCTGTTGCTGGTAAGTGTCTACAAATAAAACGCTTTAATCTTTTATCTTTAATGTATTCAGAGTAGACAAATAAAATACACCGAACCCACACATTTGCGAATGCCGAAGTGCGTAGACAGGAAAAGTCTCGGTGCTAGCACGGTTTTTTAGTCTAAATCATTTTATCCAAATAAAATACTTCGTATTCTAAAATGCATTTTATCTATATTTTCCAGCTTTTGTTGCATCACTTAACGCTTCATATACACAGTGGTATAGCAAAGCTGTCGTACAAACAAAGAATGAGGAAATTGTTAATGGCTTAACTTCATCCTTTGAAGCGGCTCTGAAAATATATGAAAAGCGAAATGGCTGTCCTCCAGATAACGTAATTATTTACAGGTAATAAAAAAAAACTTCACTTATGGGTATGATCTTGGGAATCTTACAAACATGTGTAAATTCATTGAAAAGTCTCCATCTTTGAAGTTATTTTAAAACATTAACCTTTTCCGCGACTCAATATATCAAACATTTACCTATTTATTATACCCGGTACTCGAAGAGTAAATAGGGTATATTGTATTTGTGCACAAAGTATGTAATACACAGAAGGAAACGTTTCCGACCCCATAAAGTATATATATTCTTGATAAGCATCAATAGCCGAGTCGATTGAGTTATGTCTGTCTGTCCGTCCGTCTGTCCGTCCGTCTGTCCGTCCTGATGAGCGCCTAGTACTCAAAGACTATAAGAGGTAGAGCCACCCATACTTCTGTATGCTCACAATGTTACAAGTGTATTTAAAAAATGAGCCCCGCACCTCCCAAATCTACAAATTTGAAGATAAAAGAAAACTAAAAACGCCACTCCTTAGGGAATGCCCATATCTATGAGATCTCCGATAGGATCACCGATAGAATCAGATAGGATCATTATAATGGCCAGAATAAAGAAATTAATTTGCAGTGGCTAAACTCACCCCGTCCAGCAGATTTGTTTTTTTTTTCACATTCTCTCATTCACACGCGGCCTCTGCTTCTGCCGCGAGTCTGCAGTGTATGGGGTTAGGGAAGGGGGACGAGCTAAAGGAGCGTGTTGGTGTGAGAAGTGTTGTAGATGTAGGTGACAGACGAAGAAAAAATGCTAAATTTGACAAAACACCGGTAAGGTGCAGATGTAGTACTGAATGCCGGGTATAAAAGTTGTAGGAAGCGTCTCACACGTCCCTTCTCGTTTTATTTATTTAGTTTGGGTTGCTAACAGAATACATTTTGATTTATTATTGTTCGTTTTCAGAGATGGCGTTGGTGATGGTCAACTCAGTACGTGCTCTAGATACGAAATTCCGCAATTTGCAGCTCTTGGCGGTGGTCGTATAAAAATTACATTTATCGTAGTTCAAAAACGCATTAATACTCGTATTTTTTCGGTAAGATACTGATACTATTTTAACTTTGCTAATATAAATAAATAATATAAATGCGTTTTTTACCAAGGTTTCTTTTTATGAATCTGGATTAAGTGGCTTTTAGGCCTAAAATATACCCTATTTACTCTTAGAGTAGTAGATATACAAAATTTAAACAGATTGAATCTTTAAAGTTTGACAAACAATTTTCCTTTTGTTTTTAGGGAAGTGGAAATCAATTTGGGAATCCTATGCCCGGAACCTTAGTTGATAAACACATAACTAGAGCGTATATGTATGATTTTTTTTTGGTTTCCCAAATGGTTCGACAGGGTACAGTCACCCCAACTCATTTTGTCGTATTACAAGATGATGCTAAATATGGACCGGATATAATTCAAAAACTAAGCTATAAGCTGTGTTTCTTATATTATAATTGGGCCGGAACTGTCAGGATTCCGGCGTGTTGTATGGTAAGTTTTAATTTAATCTGCCGCAATCCTGCGGCGGATACAAATTTAATCGTATTGAATTAAAATACTTGTAATTATTAACATTTATAAAATATGTTTGTCCATCGGCTGAATGGCTAATCATCTTCAGTAAAAATCGAGAGAATGTAACTAATTTTGTGTGTCCTCGTTCATGATTTCGAATAACTCGATGCGAACTGCTGGAGCTACCCTTAGCAGTTGCGTTTCTACAACAATTTATGAATGAAATCGGAGCATTGCTGATTAATACGTTTTTACGTTTTACAATTTCAGACTTTATTTTATAGGGATTTTAGGTTGTGTTCTGAACAGACTCTGATCTTCGAGCAACTTTTTCCAATCAATAAGACACGACATTCTAATACTCGGACTACTTTATCTGACCTTTCGGTACACTGATTTCAGTCTCAGCTTGTACTAGAAGTCATTAAGGACTTACAAATTATATAACCCCCTCTGTGCTTCTTATCTATGTATGTACATAGGTTTGTCGTACGTTGCACACAAAAACAATATTATTTTAATTGCTTGTGTAGGTGTCTGCATTTAATTGATTAGTTTAAATGTTTTTTAACAAGTAAATTAATATTTTTAGTTAGGTCACATTCAAACGAAATTGCATGCATTATAGTTTCGGGGATTGCGGGGATTCCGTCGAAAACGTAATGCGCTCGTGAATTTGTTGTATACATATGTACACAAAAATGTATGAAACAAAATATTTTAATTAAATAAAGTCACAATCTTTGGGCCACGAAGTAAAGCATTTCTTTCTAATAAGTACACTCTTAATATATTATTTGTTCGTTGCAGTATGCTCATAAGTTGGCGTACCTAGTTGGACAAAGTATTCAGAGGAATGTGGCAGATACCTTATCGGAGAAACTGTTTTATTTATAAATGGTCGTAAACATTAAAAAGTAATAAGTATTAAGTAAATAAGTAAAATGTAATGTTATATTTAATATTAGTCATATTGTAGGTTGGACGGCACGTGTTGTTCTTGCTCGCTTGAACTATAACTGGTGTCGCTTTTAATTTCTTAAGCCGCTGTGAAGCTTCTATATTTTTCATTTAAATTGTCAATTCTGTTTCCTTTTTTGTAAAACACCAAAGGGCATTACGCAGGCGTACCAGTCTATGCTTCTAACACACTACTCAAAAAATCCAAATTTGTTTTCTTCAAAAACCCCTACCAACTTCTTTGAAATAATTATGGTTTTTGTTTTCAATGCAGAAATGTGTTAAACACGTTTTTTTTTGTTTATGCTATTTTCAGTTAAAATGTCGTACAATATACCTCACAAAAATCATAATATTTGCCAAATCCACAAAAATCATTACAAAAAAACCTGTTTTTTAATTATAAACATTATAATTATAAAAATAAAAAAAAAATTATAAAACTCAAATTTATCCAATACTTTATCCCATTATTAACTTTTTGCTACGTCTCGTATTTTGACAATAATCTCTATAGATCTGTCTACGAGATTGAAATAATATTTTTATAATTTAAGTGCCATCTGGCCATTTATCTCTATTTTATTTAAATAAACAAATTACAGTCGGTGACTATTTCGAATTTAATACCTTGTATATGAAATCTGAAGAGGGTGTTTCAATAAATGGAATGTAAACTTAAGTTTTTAAACGGTGTCACTGGATAGGGGCCGATATACGATAGCTGAATAGAGAAATATAATGTTACTACCTTGTTACAATTCCATTTTCAACTGGTTTTCAATCGTGGTAACCTTACGATGGACAAAAATTTTTATTTTTATTTCATAGACGATGATCTAAAAAAGGGGAACACGTTTATTTGATTAAAAAAAAAACGCATTAGTGAGACTTGTAAAATATTACACGTTATATGAACATTTATTTTGTCATTACAATTATTTACTTTAATTTATATAAGACTTTAAATTTGATGAATAACTAAACTCTATCGAAAGTATTCCTATTTTCGGTTGCTTTTAGTCGATGAAAGTGAATAACAATTTTAACAAGTACATGGAACGTACATACATACAAATGTAAATGTGGGACATCTATCAACAATAAAAATGTCGATACATACATACTAGTTTCGCATAAACAAAGTAATTTTCGTTACAAATTTGATCTTTTTATAGGTATTCATTGTAATAAATTGATTAATACACCGATAGTCAAAATTCAGAACCCCAAATATAATAAATGTATAATATTAATTTGTTGTATTTAATAAGTTTTGACAAAAAGCAAATTTCTTCCACATTTAAATTATATCCGCATTTAAACTATTTTTTTCGACTAAACCAAAATAATTAGAGTATTAAAAAATACCATACAATACTAAGATGTTGCATGGTCCAGGCAGAGACGAAAAAATATAAATTGAATAAGAGTAGACAAGGCTTCGAACGAAAAACTAAGTGCAATGGGTTCCTTATGAAACATCTTGGTAATTTTATAACAACTCGTTAAAATTACCAATTACCAAAGGAGTTAATTTAGATGTGATGAAATTTTAGTTATGAAAACGTACATTTATGTACGAAAATAGTTAATGGCATCTGTAGAGACAAACAAGATTAATTTGTGTATATACTTTTCAATCCAAGTTAATTATATATAATAACATGTGCCTAATTCATCTCAATTTTTATAAATGTTCGCTAAAACATTTTTCTTATATATCATATATCTTTCAATAACTTAAAACCTTTTCTGGTCTCTTTGAAACCAGTCACACATTAATTATTTAAAACAAATTGAATAGAATGACATTTGATACCCTATTTTAAAACTTTTCTTTTTTTGAAATTAAAAATGGAATAAGTATTTAATATTATCTTTAGGTCTATTTTCTTACATAGTGTTATTACTTAGTTAACCCACATAATTTGACCTACTCAACTTTAATATCCAAAAAGCTGTAAGTCACGATTCAAGTTTTTGAAATACTTCCATCTAAGCTGGGAATATAATGAAGTACATACATAATATATCTTAGAAAAGACATTTTAGAAACATTCATATGTTTTTATCATCTTATGTTACTTTTAACGCATTAACTCACAATAATTGGCGCATAATGATAATTCTTTGATAAATGTAATAAATGAAAATATAAATATCTAAATAAACTTTTTTAAATGTTTAATTTCAATCACTGGTCTTTGAAATATAGTTAAATGGAATTTTAACCACGATGAAATGGTTGAACATTTCAAAGTTACAACTTTGAACAATTACAATTGTATAATGTATAAACCACGATGAAATGGTTGAACATTTCAAAGTTACAACTTTGAACAATTACAATTGTATAATGTATAAACAGCTTATTTGATTTTCATTATTTTTAACGCAGGATAGATTTAAAATGAACATAATCCAGTCACATCCCTAACCTACATATAATCCTCGCGATTATTTTAAACATTTACTGACAAACTGGAAAGCAGTAAACATGCATGTAAAATCTCGGAGCAACTCACATTTTATACTCCTGGTACTCATACATATCTGTGACCTAATGGTGTTTGCTGAATTTTTAATATTGGATCAGCCTTCCTTTGTCAAAAAGTGTCGGAGTATCAGGCGCTCATCGGGACGGACAGACAGACAGGGGTAGGAAAAGTGTTCTTTTGCCCAAACTCTGTGAGCACCGGGTATATTCAATGATTATGTACTTATGCACTTCAAAAATTACTGTGAAAGTTTGAATTTAATTTTAATTTGACCTCAGATTTTAATACCTTTGCACATTAATTCCCTAATTAGTATGTTGATTTTCATTATACGTATACAAGTTTCAACAAGTTAGGTACCAACAAACAACACATTTAGACTACAAATATTTGGTTTGATAATTTACAGAAATAAATAAATAAATCATCCCTATAGGATGATTAGATCCACCATATTAGTGATTTTAGTGCTCATATTATTGTTGTTAGACGAAAGAACCTGTGCGCAGCTGGAATGCAAAACGACTTTAAATGAAATCAAAATATTTAATTAAAGATTAATTAAAGAAAAGCCAATTTGATTGGTCAAATTTAAAAATAATTCCCAATTTAGATGTTCAAAGTGCGTTAGATGAACACAGATTTAAAATGAGCAAAAAGCCCAACCAATTAATTGCTACAGTTAAATATTAATGATTACGGTAAGGATTTCATTCAACTCATAAACCTCTGTGCCTTTCGTTCGATCAATATGTTTCCGTATGGTTATGTTCTAACAATCGATTAGCATTAGGCTTCGAATGCCGATATAGCCTGCGAAAACTTTTCGTACAAACAGATTTAAGGATGTTACTAAGAAATACTGATTCGAATGCTGATATATATAACATAAAGATGATTTTATACTGAGCAGAGTTGAGAATGCTTTATGTGCAAGGGTATTAAAATAATAAGGAAACATTTGTTTAGAATTATTCTCCACATAGAAATGTAATTTTTAATTGTGTAGTTATCAGTTATAAATTACATTACAAATTATTACAGCCAGTTGTCTTACAAAATATTACCCATTAAAATAATAAAAAGTAATTGCAAATTTATAAATGGTTTTAGTTTTACTTAAAACAACTAAAAAAAATATAAAAGTGTGATTTTTATTATAAAAAATTTGTTTTTTTTTCTTAAATTGCTTGTTCTGGTTGTCGTTCTTTAAATTTCAAAGTTTCTTCGAAAATCAATGACTTCAAGGCGTCTCGGGATATATCATCATTTTCCATATTTATACGAAACGGTACTTCAGCAACAGGCTAGTCAAATAAATTAAAATAAAATGGAAAAAAACAGATAAGTACGCTATTTGGATATTAAATTCTCTACCATTCATAGTACCTCATCTCCAGGATCATAATACTGCTCTAAGTAGGGATGCGCAAGGGCTTCTTCAACTGGAATTCGTTTGTGCGGATTAAATGTCAACATTTTTCCCAGTAGATCTAAAGCTAAAGGATCGGCATTTGGGAAAAGTCTCGACCATGGAACATTTGGCTTAAAAGGCAAAGACTCTAAATAGTTTCGTGCCTGAAATCCAAAGAGTTTTACGATATTTTAACATAAAAGTAAGAGGTTTACATGCCTTTTCATTGATAATGCACTCTAAATCTTCACGCGATGGAGATCCCAAGACACCAAGAATATGATTAAGTTGGTCCAGATAATGTTTTCCAGGAAATATTGGTCGATTACTTAACATTTCAGCCAAAATGCATCCTACGGACCAGATATCAATAGATTTTGTGTATCCCTTGGAATTGAGCATAATTTCAGGTGCGCGATACCACCGAGTGGCAACATATTCTGTTAGAAACCCAGTGTGATCGTGCTCAGGATCTGCAATTCGGGCTAATCCAAAATCGCATATCTATGGATGATTTTTTTTTGCAAATCCAGTAAAGAGGTAAAATGAGTAAGGTGAAAAATACATACTTTTAAATCACAAGTCTTATTCAACAATAGATTGCTTGGCTTTAAATCCCGATGTAAGACATTTGCTGAATGAATGTACTTTAATCCTCGCAATATTTGATATAGGAAGTAGCAGATATGGTCATTACTGAGCCTCTGAAATGATAAAGAACCAAATATGTTATATTCTATTCCCAGACCTACTTAATATGCAACCAAAATTATAAAACTCCTTTGAGCCGTGTATATTTTATATATATGTACATATAAGATATAGATTTAGTTAAATTGGGTAGCTGGAAGACATACCTGTGTTTTAAGTAGTTTATACAAATCAGTCTCCATTAAACACTGTACTATATAAACATCTCTCATCTGTTCTATACTATCTACACGCAAGATGTCTCGTATATCAATAATCTAAAAATATGTTAATATCAATATAATTGAAATATTTGACTATAAATAAAAACAAAATTAAGTTACGTTTTCATGTTTAAACCGGGTCAGAATTGTTATCTCTCTCAGAGTTCTTTGACAATACGTTTGGTGTTCAAACGGAGATATTTTTTTAATTGCAACTCTTTGGTTTGTTATCGTGTCATCAGCAGATCTGTAAATATAAATAAAACAAATCGAATTAAAGGTACGTTTTTTTTCACGATCCTTCATTGTCTCGGGTGGGAGGTAGGTGATGACACGACTTCTATTCTTCATATTAATAAGTAATAAGGAAGTGGTAATGTGGCTCAGACAAGCAGTAAATTTGAAGTATTTTATTTTAAAAACCTATGGGCTATATAGGAACCTGTTGGTCTCTGTTCAAGGTAGGCCAAGGTGGTTATTCCGACCGTGTGGTGGCTGGTGGCTGATTCCTGGTGCTGTTCACGTTCTCAGATAAAAAACGAGGAGGAATGTTGTGAGACACGTTGGAACACGTCGCAACTTTTATATCCGGGACTCAGTTAGTACATTTATATGTAAAAACGCAAATAACTCACTTCTCCCACCAACACGCCCTTTTAGCACGCCCCTCCCGCTGGGCAGCACACTGCACGAGGCAGAGTGTGCTGGCGAGATAGTATGCGAAAGAATAAACAAAGCTGCTGTGATGGGTGGGGGGTAGGCACTGGGCATGAATTTCGATATTCTATAATAATGATATAATCTGACCCTTATCCTTGGAGCTGATAGATTTGTCTATTTTTTACGAAACTGCGTTTTTAGTTTTCTCTATCTTAAAAATTGCGGATGTGAGAGATTTCGCACTTTATATTGTCCATAAGGGGATTGGCTAAATTTTGAAACAAACTTGATTCAGTTTGATATCACATTAGCCATCATACAAATATTGGTATCTCTAGCTCTTATACTCTCTGAGAATAAGGCGTCAAACCAGACGGACGGACGGACGGACGAACCATTTGGAGGTGGGACATATCAATGACGAATCCAAACTTGACTAATTTTTAAAGATATTCAGGTGCTTAAACTATCCATGATGCTCGCCACTGTATATATAAATATATGATTATATTTATTTTTCCACTTTTTTTTAAAACAATTTTACTATTTATACTATCCATTTTTCATTTTGTTGAAGATTTAAAAATGTATACATGCTAAGGTATGTACATACGAAACATAAATGTACGTATTTTAATTTACTCACACCACCATGCCGTAAGCTCCTTCGCCAATGTAAGCTAATTTGGTGTATCTGGGACCCACTTCAAAAATTTGACCCCTTATTAATTCGGCATTAGGGTGCGGGGCCTGCAAAGCCACTGCACCTTCAGCACTTGCTCCAGCAGCATTTGCTTCCGCCATTTTCAAGATTACAATGTTTTTCTGAAAAATGTAACATATATTATTAATTTAGCACAAACTTCAATCAACAAATAAAAAGACAATACAATTTACCGTGAACTAATTGCTGTCAAACTTGAACAAATATGTATTGTATGCATATACACACATGCATATGTACATACAAATGTATATCGGGAACACGAGTTGCATTACCTTTCAATATTTTGGAGACTCTGTATTGTTAAAAGATGTGGAGGCAACTAAATGTAGTTTGCATCAAGAAAGTCTCAACTATGTTTGTAGCACTTTTTCACTACACCAACAATATTTGTAAATTCACTTATTCTAATTTAATGCTTTATTGAAATTTTTATGGGTGTTCCAATTTATTTTCAATTTAAAACTATCGATATTTTTGACGAATCCAATAGCATTTATAGCCTGCTAGCACTGACTTTTTAATGTTAGAATTTGTCAGCAATAGTAGGGAACGTTGGGAAGTTTTGAAAGATGTGAAACGCCGGTTGCAGCACTGCTTTTTTCATGTATGCTAGGTAGTGTGAACTTGTTACACTTACAATTAAATGATTATTAAAAAATTAGCAATGGCACAGAGTGTAAATCAGGAGCAGAATAGTTTCTTACACAACCTAATTATGTTGCTGGACATGAATGACAATGATAAGGCAAACTTCGAAGACAAAGAAATCTTTAATTTCAAACTTATATATTAATATTATTGCTATTTCTTTCTCTTAGAAAATGCATTAAGTCAGTTTGGAAAATCCGTTTGATCCTTTTGTTTCTCTAAAACGCTCTTTCTCCTGGTATACGTGCGAGTTCTTTTGGTATCCACGCAAAACTTCAATACGATCCTGCCACCTCAAATTTTAAAGTTTTGGGCTCCTTCTGCTGAAAGTGTTCTGATGTGTTTGGCACTGATTTTGCACTTCTATTTTGTTTAAGATTGCCCAGGAAATAAGAGAATATCAAAATATTCCAAAAAAACTATTATATTCTAGACTGATGCAAAACAACCAAGGCAGAGACAGGTATAGAAGTGGTTTTCGAGGAGATAAATTCAAACGCAGATGCTAAGGCGCGTTCTTCAGTATTACTTTAACACCAATCCATAATTCATGTTTAAACAAGACATGATTTTAAACACGAATATGTTATGGTGTTATAAATAGTTATAAATAGTGTTGTGGTCAAAAAGTCATAACCGCCCAAAACAAGAGAGATAATTTTCAAAATGATTCCAATCGGTTGCAAACTCCAATTATATCAAGAAATATTAAAAAATCAACTCTTAATACGGATTTTATTATGAAAGTAAGACATTGTCTTAAAATGAATTTAGCAGATATTTTTGAGGGCAGATTGTGAATTGTCACCTACATAAAAATAATAAATACATATGAATGTATACTAAAACCTTACTCTAACTGAGATCTCTTCCCAGTAAGGAAAACGTCCCAGTAAGGTTCCCTATGGAAATTTAGCTTTCAATTTGACCAGCAATTGAGAACACAAAACCGATAGCGATTAGAACTGGAACGATTTTTAGAAGATTCTGAAATTGAGAACAATTGTGAAATACACTTAAACATATGTACATACATAGATATATGATTTGAACAACCCTACGTGATTTCTTTTGCAGATCGTTTTCATTTAAATCAAATCACGCCTAAACGCATAAAGTGTCAGTAGCCTATCGTCTGTAAATATGAGTTTTAAAGTTCAGCCAAGTGGTTTTGATACTAAAGCTATTCACGCAGGACAGAGTCCTGAACAATGGAAGAGCGCTTGCGTAATACCCCCAATATCCTTAAGTACCACGTTTAAACAAGATGCGCCGGGTGAGCACAGGGTAAGCAAGAAATTTGACTTACAATATTGTTGATATTTCCTGAATACAATTTCCTCAATGTACATACCCATGCGCATATGAGTTTATGTATAAATCTACAATTTTGGATTAGTATATTTATAAATGTACAATACACAATTACATATGCATATACATAGTTCGATATCTTTTCATGTACATATGTACTTACATGCATACGTACCTTAGGGAAGTTTTAGATATTAGAAAACAATCCATGTATGTTTGTACATATTTATGGTTGTAAAAATGTGTGTACATATGTATGTTTGTATGCAGTGTCACGATCGCAATCGTTAAAAGTCTGTAAAAGAATCATAATACCATATACATACCGGTGTTATACATACATACATACATATATACATTAATATGTAAATTATACATATTTTTAGTTGTTATTGTTATATGTATGTACATATGTACACAACGACTCGGCACGGAACATGTGGGAAAAGGCACCGGTTGCCCCGGCTCACGTCCAAGTGAATTACATATTATTATATGTATGTTGTATGTACATATAACATATGTATGTAGTACCTTAACGGTTTTTTGAGAGTCATGGAACAAGATTCACCTTTTAAAACATTTAATATTTATTACAAAAATGTAGCAATACAATTCTTAATTTCCTACACATGTGCATACATACATATGAATGTATTTACATATTGTATGCATATCTGACGGAGTCCGGGTATACAAGCTGGGACGCTTACGAAAGCGTCTAACAACGTTCCTCCTCGTTTTCTGATGATGATTAGGCAAATTTTAATATTTTCGAACGCTTCGTCTATCTTTCTTATTGTGTTGTTATTGACCGCAAGATAACCTGCAGATTTTCCTTATCATTTAACCCATGGGTTAAAACCGAAATATTAGTTGATAAATACAGTATCAGTATCGGTCATAATTAAGTCGCTGAACGTGTGCCACGCCTCCTATCTTTAGGACTGGTAGTTATTATACCGGCTTTTTTAAATTTATCTTATGTATGCTGGAGAAACATTGTTCATATATGTTCTTATGAAAACTGTTGAAACTGTTTTCGTGTCTTGAAAATATTTGAAAAATATTTCTCCAGCCTCTCTAAAAATGCTAAAACTGTCCTACTGTTATGATCACCTAGTTAAATCTCCTAAAACGTATTCAAAGAAACGTAAATGTCGGCTTTAGGCTAGCGGCAAACCGTACAAAATACTATAGGTATTTTTCAATATCTCAAAATGTAATCATTCATTTCATTTGTAGGGATATGAGTATTCGAGAAGTGGTAACCCTACAAGGAACGTTTTGGAGACCTGTTTGGCTGCGCTTGACAATGCCAAGTATGGCCTTACATTTTCTTCTGGACTCGGAGCCACAACTGCTGTGTTGACAATGCTGAGTAGTGGAGATCACATTATTCTCGGCGATGATGTGTACGGTGGAACAAATCGACTTGTGAGGTAACATTACATTTAGATACAAATGTGTACAATGTGTAACATCCTAAACGGGTTGACCGATTCTACTAAAATTGTAATACATGACTGAAATCATTAAATATTCAATATCTTGATAAATATTTTAGACAAGTAGCCTCACGCTTGGGAATATCAGCCACCTTTGTGGATCCAACAAACTTGGAAAAATTGAAAGCTGCAATTCAACCTGGTACAAAGGTATGCATGGACACTGGGATTATGTTTTTGATGTGGTGTAAATTTAGATGAAAATCTCATATCCTTCTGTTTTGGTTTTTTAATAACAGCTTAATCTAATTAGTAAATTGCTAAGAAAAGACCTATTTTTATACACGGTATTTGAAGAGTTAAAGGGGTATATAAGCTTCGTGCTCGAGGTGGATGTACAAAAATATGTAACGTAGAGAAGGAAACGTTTCCGACCCCATTGAGTATATATATTCTTGATCAGCATTAATAGCCGAGTCGATATAGCCATGCTTGTGTGTCCGTCCTTCCGTCAGTCTTTTTTGACTCCTAGTTCTCAGAGACTAAAAGAGCTAATCGAAATAGAGACTCGGAAGACTCATGTGTTAACACGCTGAATCATGTTTGTTTCAAAATGTCACGTTTTAATAATTCTTTACATTTTCTTTTAGCTGATATGGATCGAAACTCCGACCAATCCTTTAATTAAAGTTGCGGATATAAAAGAAATAGCAACTATGTGCCATGGCATCAGAGAAGATTTAATATTAGCAGTGGACAATACGTTTTTGACCTCATATTTCCAAAGGCCTCTTGAATTGGGTGCCGATTTGGTTTGTTATTCACTTACCAAATACATGAATGGGCATACTGATGTTGTAATGGGTGGAATCACCATGAATTGTGATAAGCTGCATGGCAGTCTGAAGTTTTTGCAAAATGGTACGTCAACATATTATAGAAACATTTTTTGAAGTATGTAAAAATAATCTTATTTTCAGCTATTGGCATTGTTCCGTCCCCATTCGACTGCTACCAAGTGAATCGTAGTCTTAAAACTCTTTCACTCCGAATGAAGCAACATCAACACAACTCCATTAAAATAGCAAAGTATCTGGAAACACATGAGTTTGTAGAAAAAGTACTGCACCCCGCTTTACCTTCTCACCCTCAGCACCACATCGCGTTAAAGCAAACCTATGGGTACAGCGGAGTGTTTTCCTTTTATATTAAAGGGGAATTAAAGCAGTCTAGCGCATTTTTAAAAGCTCTACAAGTCTTTACATTAGCTGAGAGTCTCGGAGGATACGAAAGCTTGGCTGAATTGCCGTAAGTAATACGAAATAAGCACCAAAATACGTAAATGAAATAAGTAAATTGAACAATTGAAATGATATGTATAAGATAGTAAAATATCAGTATCCGATATGATGGCTTAATAGTTTTCTAAATAACTTAAGCATTCAATTGAATATCTTGATTAACCTTTGTTATTGTTCTGCGTTTTATTTTCTTAGATCCGTAATGACGCATGCATCTGTTCCAGCGGAAGACAGGAAGACCTTAGGAATCACTGATGGCCTTATTCGACTTTCGGTTGGTCTTGAGGATGCCGATGATTTGATAAATGACTTGAGTCAGGCCCTTGACATTGCATCAAAAATCTAAAGTACTCTGAGGATAAAAATATGTTTGCATATTTTTGATTTGTGCATGATCGGATTATGTCCAGTTACTGAGGCTATAAGCCTCCTAGCACCCAAATCAGATAAAGTGCATTTTGTGAAGCATTTCATTTGTGTAAAATTTAAATAAAAATATTGCTTTGTACGCGGAATTTAAAATTCAATTTACAAATTTTCTTTTACAGTTAAAAGTTAAATGAATCATCCGGCTGTCGTAAATCCAAATATATCATTTAAATGATGAAATCAATAAAATTGTAGTCTTTATGTAACTAACTGTCGTCGACAGAAAACTAGCTTAACCAAGAGCAGTCATGGAGCAGAACAATTAACTAAAGGACACAGCAGATATTAAAACGGGCACAAAAAGCAGCGGCACCCCTACAATAAAAACCAGGTGGTAGTTAGTAGGAAAATTCAGACACCCGAATCATGTTGCAAGGAATATTCTGTTAAATTCCTGTTCCAACATTCTATGGTGGCGTGTTATCCTCGTGACGAGCACCAGGTATTCTGTCAGGTTACTCAGGTCGTCCATGAACCAGCCCTGACGAAACTGCTTCTTGAGCGCTAAAAGCGTTCGAGTATTCGAAGCTAACCCTACTGAAAAGAGCGTTGACGCTTCTCCATCGCTGGCATTGTGGCCGTGAGACGCGATAGGGTGAGAGTTGAGGATGGCCTCTGCCGCATTTCCGACCCTGTTTGGTTACTTTGACTGCTGCCTCTACAGTCCACCGACGGTGGTAAGAGACACCACTCTATGCTTCGGTGTGCTGAGTACGTCCTAACCCGATCTTGGTGCCCTCGAAACCCATTACTTTTTCACACGAACACACTGCACAACAATGCACAACGCATATTTGGCTAGTGAAATACACATTTGGCAGTGTGTTATTACAGAAATCTGGATGCAAGGTTAATTTACCAAAGCCAATATTTCCTACTTGCATAAATATTTTATTTAATAATAAACCTTTTTACAACTTTTCGAAAAGTACACAAAAACAAAACAGTTGTCTCGTCGAGACTTATTAACTTTTGCAAAAAAATATGTTGCTGTTGACGCCAGCCAAGACAAAATTTCCGCACAGATATTTAAAATACTCATCTGTTTTTACATGGATTGGAGATGGGTCCAGTGTGAATCGGGTTTTCACATCTGTCAAACATTTCCAGCGTTCCTCGGTGATGTGCTCAGTGTGCAGAGGGCCGCTATTTACTTATCGATATTTTCTGTTATACCATAGCTACATATTATATATTATAAACTATTAATAATATTTTTTTTTCGGGGATTGTCGATGTTTTAAGTCATCTCATATTTGAATGAAGTTCGGTTTGGATATTGATAGTAAATTCATTAAATATAGTGTAAGTATTTATATTTTTACACATTTCTGTATCTACAATGTAGATTCTACAAATACCTAAAATATACTATATGTACATATTTACATTGCTTATTTGTACATATGTGTATGTTCTTACATACTGAAGATATATTTAAACGTCTGTACATATGTATGTACATATGTGCTCACAAAAATTGAATCCTTAAGTACAACTCAAATCTTTCAAATATTTGTACATTGCTTAGGAAAATATAGAAATATGGAAAAAATATCAAAGAGTTTAGGGATACATTTAATGTACATATGTATGTACTTATGTATGTACATTAAATATGTGGAGGTCGTTGATGTGTTTAGATTCTAAACTTTAGGATGTTGGTTCCGACCACATAAATTACATACAGTAGGCACACACATTATTCGTACACTCTTATCACCCTAGTTAACGGTTAACCTAACGGTTAATGTACTGATGTCCTGGATCGGTATCTCATCGAAATCTTATGGGGGAACAACTGCAAATCCGTCAACCAAAGCACATTTTTGTCATGTGGCTTAGAATCATTTGCTAAAATCCTATTGAAGCTTGGGCAGTATATTATGTTATGACCCATTATAGGCGGGAGTAAGGAATTAATAAACAACAAACAACTTTTGTTGCTTTTTTCGATTCTCTAAAAAAACACTGCTACTATATTACGAAGATAATAGAGAAAGCGTGGTTCCCGCTGGAACTTTAATCGTCGCTACCCGTGTATTTCTAACAGCGCTGGTGCCCTCAACAGTAAACATTAACTATACATATTTACGTTCTTTTTACAACTTTTTTTCAGTATCATCTATAATATGAACAAAATGGGAGTACCAACAGAATCTACATTTCTTGATGTCAAGCTGCCCCAAACTCTTCTAGAATCACCGTCAACATCGACCTTTTTGCCAGAGGAAGAGGCTGCTTTTTGTCCATTACTCTCAAGTAGAATGTCAGGTCCCATAGCACATCCACTGAGTCCAAATCATATGAACATAGACGGAACTACGTCACAAATCAGTTTAGATGGTAAGGCAGAATCAAGCTCTACAGATAGTAGTAGCGGGATAGCAATCGACGTCCAGGAATCCACTACCAACAACCTATACCATAATGGAAGCTATCAACATCTACAAAATAACAATATAAATACACAAGAGGTAATTTATTTCAATTTTATTTTAACTCACGACTTCCCTAAACACTATTCCATTTTGTAACTATTTTTTGTATGATGAAATTCTGACAAGTTTTGACGAAATTTTGAAGTTCTGCTGCACCTATGCTAGTTCAAAAGCGTCCGCCTTCCTCTTATTATAATAACCAGGCACTCAGGGACGATATTTCCACCCTTGCTCTCCACCTAAAAACGTCCTGACATTGGCTAGTTTACAAATCATGCTACAAATCATGACTCAAACTACGCTCTGATGTCTTTCGCGGACTGCCCCGCTGTTTTTGTTCATTCCCCAGCCCCAATCTCTCATCGATCACCATTCTTGACTGGCATCCCTGTCATTATTTCAATTGCTCTATAGTGTTATGTTCCCTTCGATAACCGGATGCCTAATTCTTCTCTCGTTTTCAATTGCTTTTTAAATTTTCATACTTGCCCTTCCAAAATGTACACAAACAGCAATTGAGTGAACAATTATTCTATATAATTCTGTCTTCATCCGAAATAAATTAGCTCGACGGTTTGTTGATTTGTTTGTGTGGAAAAAAATTGTGCTCTCAAATGTAGTTATTGCCTGGCCATTCATATTTCCCATTGAAAATGATACACCACGAGAAAGTTGAACGCTTTTAATTAATTTGGCATTGCTCTAATAATAGAAATGCGTGGCATTTTGTTCCCCGAACTTGACTTAAAAAATTACTCTTTCGATAAGATATTTGATTCAATTTTTAATCACAAAGCTCGTTCCCTTACACAGCGTCCAAATTTCGAAATACTTTCGGTGGTACAATTTTCAGTTATAGTCATGACTTCTGTGATATCCCACTAGTTAAGTTTATTTACAATTTTAATTTATACATAAATATACATAAATTAATTGTTTATTTCTCATTAACCTAGGATACCCATTTCATTGGAAAAAAATCGAAAGACGCTCCCTCATTTGTATCATGGAACTGGCCGCTTATTCGGAAATTAACTTTTTTTGTTTTTGCCGCTGCTATTTTTGCTATGTGCTCCATAGTTGTTGCAAAAATATCTACTATGCCAAAATCTTGCAATCCAAAGTAAGCTGTTACACATAATTAAATATGTAAATGCGTATTACTTATGATTCCGTTTCGTTTTACAGAACAACATGGTACCGTGGAGGTGTATTCTACGAAATAAGATTTCAGGATTCGGAGTATAAAGGAATTAGTGATATTAATGAAATAAACAACCGCGTTGACTACCTTTCCTCGTTAGGTGTAGCAGCAGTCAGACTAAATTCTATTTTTTTTTTACCAGGAAATGATAATGTCACTTCGATACTGCACATAGATCCTGAAATTGGTTCTGTATCCCAGTTAAAAGTTTTAATCGATACCTTAAAATCTCGAAATATAGCTCTGCTCCTAGACATACCATTAGATACAATATTTGTTAAAACTCACAGCAACCAAGAAATAGTCTATAATCAAATTACTAGAACAATAACTTCGATGGTTGACAATGGAGTGAGCGGCTTTTATTTAAAAGGACTTGATTTTTTTTCAAACGATTTGGAGCTTCTTAAATACTTAGCGATTTGGAAACGTATAGTTGGCACCAATAGAATTCTGATAATAAACGAGAATGTCTTAAAAGGAAAACCAACTGAATTATTAACAGAAATTCATCAACATATTGATCTTGTTGACGTTTGCCTAGACCTGGAAGGTGGCACGAAGAAAATAACGAAACGCATAGAAAATGTATTAGTAAACATGCCGTCAGCCGAACAAAAAACTTGGATACACTGGTCGATTGTTGATACCCACTTAAAATATCAGCGGGATCGAGATTATATTAATTCGAATTTAGCAACAGCTGTCACTATAATGCAGCTTATGCTGCCAGGTACACCAAATATAATGTATAAGGATGTAAATAGTGGAGATGAATATAACAGTATAAGAATGTCTAAGCAACCTGATGGCTCTAAAATTGTAAGCAATATGATATCTCTGCGGAAGCGTTCCCCCTCTATATATGAAAGTGCCATTTGTAAGTCAAATAGTAATACTCAAAATACTTTAATAAGAAATATCAATGAAGACACAATTATTATCGTCCGAAACTACCCACGAAGAAACTCCTTTGCATCTGTTACAAACCTAGGACACAATAATATTACCTTAGACTTGACGTCAACATTTTATAGTGGTACTCGAATGCTCACTGATGAAACCGATAAAATATTTTTCAAGCATTTTAAAATAGATCCCTTTGATACAATTGTTGTTAAATTGGATAAGTAAAACTCATCATATTTAATTTGTTTGCAAGTCTAGTCTGTTCCAAAAATTGTTAATTTCAGCTAAGATTTAAAAAATAAACCAAACCCAACGACAAACTATGAAGAAATTAGATTACTTTGTCCCCGCGAATTTCCTCTAGATTGGCAACCTTTTCGGAGTCTGTGTACTTATCTTTAAAAAATATTTGATTGATACGATAAGCTGCTGTCTGTTCTTTGCAATTATGTTTACGACGGCAGCGAAACTAGTATTATGCCGACTAGGTTTAGAACCTGCCCTTCGTTGGGACTACCTGTAGCATGCAAATGAGATCGCCCTCCCTGAAAGCTGCAGGTGATGTGTATCGGAGTTTATCTGAGTTTTTATTTCCAAGCCATAAGAAAAGGCTTGGCGATGATAAAGTCAAAATAAAACACCATTTAGTACTCTTAAAAATCAATAATATATATTTTTAAACATATTGTTGCATCTTACTACAAATTTAAATTAAAAATATATTATTTTGCCTGTTATTCTTCCTTAAGGATTTGATTAATTTTTGTAAGGAATGTTATTTTTGTTGGGTAGTCTATCATCAGATTTTGAACTAATTCCAATAGCTTGCTGTTCATATCTGATTGTTTTTGGGAGAGCTGATCAATTGCCATCTCCGAGCGAACGGAGCTTTGAATTGACTTTATTTGTTTAAGCCGTCGATAAGCCTTAGCACGAGTCTGTTTTCGAATAATTTTTTGTAAGTTCGCATGCTTAGACAAATGAGCATTTTCTATTTGAGTTCTGATATTGGCATCATCTTCGATTATGGTATTTAGGTCTGATTGAATTCTTCTTAACATATAAATCATGCGTTCAATCTTATTAACATCATCGGTTAAACGAGTTTCTGATAGAAATGCTATTTCGTTATGTATTAGCGTTGCTCTATTGTGAAGTTCATCTAGTCGTACTTGAGTTTGACAGGCGGTTTGAAGCTTTATTTCTTTTGCCTTTACATGTTCTTTAATAGTTGCGTTAACAAATATTTGTTCACGGTGCATAACGCAATGTTCTAAATCTTGAACCAGCTTTTCCTGTGCTCGCTTCAGTTGAATATACCTTATATTCATGCGATGAATTTCAGTTTTCATTAAGCCTTTTTCACTATTCAGTGAGCTCTCTGTCTTTGACCATCGAATTGTTTCTTCAAGTAATTTATATTTTGATTCCCAGGATAACGCTTCTCTGTGGTTCTCTATCACCAAGTCTTTATGAAGTTCAATTGTGTTGCGTAATTCAGAGATTACCTCCTCCAACTTTAATATTCCAAGCTCGGCATCCTGGTGAAAAGAATAAAATTAATTTGTACAATATATGAATAAATTGGGGTACATAGGCATACCTTTAGTTTTTGGCTGAGCTCATTCTGCTCGTGTTCAAACTCAGTCTCCTTCATATCATGGTTTATTCTCTTCTTGTATATTTTTTCGTTAAGCAATTCTAACTTCGATGTATATTTTTGTATATACAAGTACAAATCTTTAGTTTTATTTTCAGAAGTCTCCAGCTCCTGGTCAATTTTAAGTGACTTCTGTTTTATAATTGACAATTCTGCAAAATAAAATTATTATCGTTACACGGACTTTATATATTTTAGATATTATCTATGTACAACTTGTACTTACGTTTGCGTGTGACTTGAATTTCATTTAGCTGGTCGTTTCTTTTTTGTGACAAATTCACAAAATGATTCTGCAGCATTATCCAAAATTGTTGGTGCTCTCGGATTTGCGACTCAGCAGTGTGAATTGTTTTTTCAATTTGTTTTATCTAGAGTAGGAAAGTTGTTATACAAGTAAAATTGTATACATAAAAATATATATTACCTTCAGTTCAGTAGGATTACCGGAAGCATCGCCAAATTGCTTCTGAATTGTTTCTATTTTGTTGCTGACTTTTTCAAACAATTTCATTTTTACTTCAATTTTAGAGTGCATTTTGTTTAGATCTGCCTCAAGAGTGCTAGATTGAAGCTCCGATTCGTTTAAACTCTGTGTAATTACTTCATTTTGGCTTTTGGTCTTTAAAACTTGACTTCTAAGCTTTTCCACGTCGAGCATAGAGGACGCCAATTGACTCTGTACCTTTGATAACGATAAATCTATACTTCGCCGACGTTCTTGAGACTTATTTAATAATTTCAGTCGGTAGACAGTGGCCTTATCCGCTACAAGTTGATCTTGCGCCAACTTTAATATTGCTTCCTCAGTTCGAAATTTTGTTTGGTGATATTTGTCCAACGTATAGTCAAGTTTGCGAATTTCCGATAACAGTCTGCTTCCATCACGCACTGCTTCGTGTAAGTCGGCTTCAGTGCGAGCTAAGAAGTCTGGTAACTCATCCAGCTTGGCTTGTAACCGAAACAACGTTTCGTTTTCTTCTTGGCCTGATAATATTTTTAGAATTGAAAATAAGATTAGGTAATTTAATATATTCCCTTTTACTCATTGAGTACCTGGAAATTAGAGCAAAAGTTAAATAAAACTTACAGTTCCGACGCAAAACGTTGGTATCGTCAGTTAACCTTTGTTTAAACGATTCAAGTTTTCTATTAAGTTCCATTTCCTTTGCAATTTGTTTCTTAATTGCTTCAATGCCGGCCAGATTGAGCTTTATTGAGCCTCGATGTTTTCTAAAACGATATTTTAACTTTACTGTTTTGTAGTTAGATTACCACTTGTTTCCTTACCTCATATTGTCCTGAACTTGAAATAATATTTTATCTCTTAGTTGTATTGCTACAATAACTTCGCTCCATGCTTGAGTAAGGCGCTTATGCTCATTTTGTAATACCTCAAGATCAGTGTTGGCGTCAGCAATACTCATATTTAAAATGCTTACAACATCCTTCATTGCCTTTTCTTCATCGCAAATTGACTGTAGCTCATTTTCTCTTTTTTTAACTTCCATATCCAAGCGATAGAATAGGATGTCGGATTTTCGTTTCTCCTGAGATAACTGTCGCTGTAATTGCGCATCTCTGCTAACAATACGTTTAGCATTTTTCACTTCATCTTCTACATCAAAGGCCCATTTTTTTATATTACTACCCAAACTTTGCAGATCTTCTAGTTCCACCATTCTTTCGTGATATAATGCTTTTTGAGATATAGTTAGTTTTTCTTTTTCTTCGTAAATCTGCTTAACACTTTTTACAGCTAATTCTTCGACCTGCCGGCTTTGTACGTGCACATCGATTTCTGCAGATATTTCTTTAATTTGTTCCTCTTGAAAGCCCATTTTTTGTTGCATATCATATAATGTTACGCCATGATCTTCCCGTCGCTGCTCCTTTCCTTTTACTTGGTACTTAATATCAGCAATTTCATTTTCTAACTTTTGTTTAGTACGTAACAGGTGATCTTTCAATGACCGTTGAAACTTGGACAGAAGCGGATGATTTGGAGGAAGAATAGCCAATTGTTCCGGTTCTGGGGCCCCATGAGGATCCAGTTCCGAAATATTGGCAAAATCGCACGAGTCCAAGTCATCGGTGTCCGACATTCTTGTAAAATATATATTTCCTTTCAGAAAAATGTATGCATTAAAATTCTACTTCGTTATTGACAAAATGTTTGACAAATATAACAGCAAATTCAACGGTTGCCAAGGTTTTTGGTAATTTAAGGTTGGTAACAATGTGACCACCGCAGAGCTATCGATAAAATATACTGTCTAATCCTTACAAATATACCAAAATATATATACATTTTCTGTTGTTAAATGCTGGCTGCTACAACACACAGAAGGAAACGTTTCCGTCTGTATAAAATATATATTCTTGATCAGTATCAATAACCGAGTCGATATAGATATGCCTGTGTAACCGTCCGTTTGCTCGACTTACCGTATGTCCGTCCGGATGAACGTAAGACACCATAAGAGCTAGAACTGTTGCTTACAGGCTACTGCATCACACCGTTACAGGTGTATTTCAAAATTGCGACCCGCCCCCTTCCGACAACACATAAGACGAAAAAGTCTCAAATCCTCAATTTTAAAGATACGAGAAAATCGCCCTTACGATTCACAGGAAAGTGGAAATCAAGAGAACCTTTTGAGGTTTACATATGCTATTGCTTCGACGACTTATAATGTTTTACGAAGCTTAAACAGTACAACAAACAACTAGATCTGTATAACATTGCAGTCTTTTATTTCTTTGTATAACATGTATTAAAAGGCGGAGCCTAAATGAAAAGCACTCACTCACTACTTTGATGAAAACGAAAATATTCCAATCATTATACCAGTGTTCGTGTCGGCCATCGTTTCACTCAAAGATGGGAAGAACTTGTTTTGAGTGATGCTACGAACAGTCGGTATTTATGAATGAGGGTAAAGTACTTGGTGTAAGATCGAGACGAACCAATTCACCTGCTTTGCGTGGTCAAAATGTGAAACAATTTTGGACAGGATGTAAGTATCTGAGAGTTGTATGATACTAAACAATTAAAATTGTTTGCCTCTCCTAATAAATACTGAATTCTAATTCGATATCCTGATTGAGACATATGTATGTATGTGTCCTGTGTGGTGTGTATTTTTGTACAAAAACAAAAAAGGTCAATGCTTTATTTCAGGATGCACGCATAATATCTACATACATACATAAACAATTTAAAATGTACATAAGAACATATGTAAATATGTATGCATATATGTACATACATATGTACACACTCTACTGTGCAACGCTAATTAAATGTGCGGAAGATGCTACCTGAACTCACCAAGACAAAACTGAGCAACTATTCTATCTTACTTTGTGGTAAGACATGAATGCCTTTGTGTGTATGTCGTCCACCTGCGGAAGCAACCTACAGGTGCACATGTTCGTGTCTGTACGAGTATTTTAGCTTGAGTATAAGAGCGTATGCGAGACGAGTTTGCCTGAGATCAATTGATAGCCATAGCATTGTGTAATGTTGATCTTGTTTTGGTACCGTAGTGGAGCATTGAGTTAAATGAGCCAGCTCTTAGTTATGCTGGTTGGTGGCTTGTTTGAAGGCAACTTCGTATGCGCATCTGTATGTGTGAACGTCTTTCAGTTGTTTGAATGGTATCGTATTGCAGGTGTTTGCAGTCTGCCTTTTAGAAGGTCATGGTTAATACAAGCCATCCTGACCATGCAGTAGTTGTTGAGCATTGAATGAAATGTGTTCATAAAGCTCCGCGCAATTTCAAGAAGTTCTAGTTTATTAAATGTGTGTGCGTATTGCTTTAAAGTGCTAGTTTTAGTTTTAACAATTGTCCAGCATATGCGGACATCTGAACTGTTTCACTGGCATCATAAATAAGAAGTTAATTATTTAAGAAATGGAAACCTGCGTTCTTATACCAAAGGAGTTCGCATTAGTTACAACATCAGTGACATCCTTTAATGAACCGGAAGTGATTGTGTATTCAATAACTGATATCAAGGTGGGATCATTATTCTACCCGTTCCAAGGAACAGTGCGAACCGATCAATTAGAGACTTTAAAACCTGTTGAAAATAACGATGTAAGTATTATTTGGCTTGTTTTGAAGATTATCCTTAATTATATTTTAAATTAACACAAAAAGGAGGAAAATGATGTTATTGTATTTTATTGTATTGGTATTTATAAAATATAAGCTAAAGCTAAATTTATTATTTTTCTTACTTACTGTAAGAAAATGTTTATATTTCGTGTCTTAACTTGATCTTGATCAGTGTTAAAATGCCATTAAATATTTCCATTGGTCTCTGTCTATCCTATCCCCCATCTATTGTGTTTATTCGATTTTCCAGCTACCTAGATGCATTTTTAGGTACTACAAGCATAAGTCAGGACCTTCCAAATCATATCACTGTAACAAAGAGTTTTTAAAAATAAAAACTACACGATCAAAGATTTGATACAATTTGATTAGGTAGCTACCATACTTAACATTAATTGGTCGTTTGACTTCAAGGGTATTAAAACTTCGCAGCACCGAAGTCAATTTCCTTACTGGTTCATTCTTGTTTTCGCCATTCTTATTCATCTCAGGTCTGGGCTTGGTCCATCTACATATTCTGTACGCTTTCAAAAATAATAACATCGTGGAAGAGGAACCAGAATTTAAAATCAATGCAATTAAATTCTGAACTTGCATACCGTTACAGATGGTATTATATATTCTTTACATATTTTAATTGAATTTAAATACATACTCGTATGTACATATGTACATACATATTTCTGCGTTTTTATAAAATTTGGTTCAACAGTGATTAAGAGTTTCGTATTCAAAGATGTAAAAAAGGTTATTGCTGTTGTCGTCTCGATGCCATATTTTGTGCATCCGAATTTAAGAAATAGTTGAAGTTGTATCATTTAACCCTCAAACGTCATTCATGTTATTTCCGGGATCCTTTGTCGCTTCAATTTTTGCTGTTCTGCACCAGTGTGATCACTTACAACGTTGTCGACCATATATACGAGTACGAACAGAAAGACTCTAGGTATAGGAGTTTAGTAGTTATAACTTTCTTATAAGGATTTTATTAGAACGAGTGGGAGAATACATTTAAGCGAATCAGACATTGACTAAGTGCGGGAGGATGACAAATTTGTTGGTGATTTAGTTTGATAAAAGGTAGATAATAGCCTAAAAATGAACAAAATGTTTGCCAATGTTGGCTTGTCTTGAATGGTTAAGGATTGAAGGAGTTAAGGTATATTAGATATGCACTCGAAGTGTGTATATTGTTGATCAGAATAAATAGCCGAGTTCATAAACGAGATACCAAAAACCCAAATCTATCAGGTTCGCGAGTTATGATCAGAATGATGAAATGCATTTGCATTTGGCCTGTTTATTTTAGTTTCTCACCTCCTAAGTGTCGAAAATCTCTAAGAAGATTTCTAATTGGTGTACCCCGAATTCTAATCGTATGCGAAGTGCCCTTTTATGAATAAAATGAAAAAAGTACATACATATGATGTATGTAAAAACAAAAAATTTTGTTGGCGAATCTAACTTATGTAATGCCTGATCAAAAAAACCGATATATGGGGTCCGCAATTTGACTTTCTATGCTGCAAAATCATAATAAACGCTTCAAGCGCATGTACGTAAATTGTATAACTTTGTTCTACTGGCAACACAGCGATCACATCAGCTTTCATGCATGACGTGATCACTCTCCCATGACGTTAAGAATTCTTAAAGACGTGCACTAGATAATTTAAAGAAGTTCTCACAGTCTTCAAGAAAAGAAGGTAACAATAGTGAGAAGACTAAATTAAAAGAAGTATGTGTGTTTATCCCAGCCCAAGTACTTAAAATAATTTGTACATAACAAAGGGGATGAAGAATAGAACAAGAAAATAAGGAGAAGTACCGAAATATACCAGACCGATACGTAATGGTGACATAATAATCCGATTTTGTATATATTAAGCACAAATATCTACATAATATATGTATATATAAATATGTATGTTTAAATAGTATATATATGTAGAGATGTAGAGATATATATGTATGTTCTTCCAGACATTTCAGATATATATTGAAAATCATAAGACTCTGCATTGGGATACACTCTACTGATGACATACATACATATGCGACTTGTGTAGGTTGGTGGATCGTATTCCACCAGCGTGCGTGCCTTAAGGGTGATCACTCTCCCATGACATAAGAATTCCTTAAGATGCACACCAGATAATTTAAAGAAGTTTTCACAGTATTTTTTATGTCTTGAGTAATCATTTAAGGCTGTTGTGGGAACAATTTTCAAAAGAGATAGGCTGAGTAGTTACAATAATTTTAAATTAAGATTGCATAGAAACAGTTGCAAAGCTTCTGCGTGTCGAAGTTTACATATATACTCTTGAAGTCGTCTAAACTCATGAGTATAAACATTTCGAACAGAAAATCGAAATGCAAGAATCATTTTTCTTAAATGGATATGAATCATTTGAAAGAAGTCTTTTAAAATAAGTTTAAAACCAGAATGTTTGGCTCGACGCGAAATGCAATAAATATTTTAAAATTATTAACATTTAAAAAATATAAGGAATATAATCTCAAGTTTATGAGAAAGGTGGGTTTGATGTCAGATGTTTGTTATTGTTAAATCAAATTGTTCATCTTAATGTAATTCACATTATCTATAATTTTATGTGTATAAATATTTACAAATTTTGTTCTTCCAGTGTCGATATAAATTTGGTTTATATGATGAAGTTTCATACAAATGCGGCAAACAAGTTCGTCACTGTAACTGGATAAGATTCCTAACAGTTTCTGCTTCATACGATTCCAAAGTAAATCTTATCTGCACAAAGGTCAAGGGCGATCCTATATATGAGGTTGCAAAAGCCATTATGATACATCAAGAATTAGTAGTGTACTATTTGCCAGAACCGCCGGAACAGACTATTGTAACACATATACACTCAATATTGTACAGAAAAGTAATGGAATCCTTTGTAAAAGGTACGCAATATTAAAAAATACTCATAAAGTTTCTTAAAAACACTGTGCGACATTCATTTTATCCTTTGCTTAAAAAAAGTATTGTTTCATGTACTGGCCAAGTATACATATCTCAAGCCCATTAGTAATATTTGAAACTATATCCTTTTTGAATTTCTAAAAAAAATGTTGGGGCTTGATATCTTTTAAACATGGCCTACAATATTGTTTTATTCTTGGGCAAAGTTCTTTAAAAACTTTACATATTGTCGCGCAGTGGGTTTTAAAATGCCCAACCTTGCAGCCGCTATTTACATTTTGTAATATAATTTCTTTTTAGATACTCCACTGGATTTATCATTGCCATTAATGTATAGATTACCAAATTTACCACTCTCTCCTCCAGCAAGTGAAGACGAAAATAAGTTCAATTTAAGCAATTGTTCAGGTAATTAAGTTAATGCAAATTAAATCAAACTAGTAAAGCAAACTCTCTGATTTGTAGATATAAATAAGTACATTTATCAGACACCAAAAAGACGAACAATGAGAAATGAGCGATCTCTGTTACCCTGTGACGTTTGCGGCAAGTCTTTCGATCGACCTAGTCTTTTAAAAAGACATATGAGGACGCACACAGGTTTGTAATTATAGTATTTTGTTTTGTGAGTTAGTAGTTGTAGTTTTGAAAGCTATTTTTAAAATTAAGCTTACTTTTGTACGTTTGCATTCAGGATAACTTCACCTTGCAAAAATAGATGTTCACCTTTTTTATATAATATTTTCAGGCGAAAAACCACACGAGTGCTTCGTCTGCGGCAAAGGATTTAGTACATCAAGCTCGCTTAATACACATAGGTAATTACCTGGAATTAACAATCAAAAATATACTGAAAGAACAATTTAACAATAGGAGAATTCATTCTGGAGAAAAACCCCACGAATGCCAAGTATGCGGGAAAAGGTTCACAGCGAGCAGTAATTTATATTATCACAGAATGACCCATATAAAGGTAACGTACGGTATTTAATGTATATAATATATTTATGTGATTGCTGCCATTAAACAAAAAAGTAGCTTTAGTACGTTCGAACATACTTACAAATAACACTACTTCAAATTTTATTTTTATTAAAACTTAGAGCCAAATTTAGTTTTTCTGATAGATTTTGCGCCTTTTTTGGTGAGGAATTAGGATTATTTTTCTGTGGCAGGACTTAAAAAATAAACGAGGAGAAACGATGTCAGACGCGATCGTACGCGTCACATCTTTATGGCCATTAAGAAAATTGTTATTGCGCCGGTTACATAGTCTTATTAACTTTTAAGGGTATTAAATAATTTAATATTAAGTGGGTATTTAAATCGTCTTAAAGACTCACAGTAGATGGATGATGTCTGAAAAACCATATCTCAAGTTTGTTAATATTGAATATTTTTATGTATATTTTAGGAAAAACCACATAAATGTAATTTGTGTTCGAAATCATTTCCCACACCCGGAGACTTAAAAGCTCATATGTATGTTCACAGCGGCTCTTGGCCTTACAATTGCTCTATATGCCACCGCGGTTTCTCCAAGCAAACTAATCTAAAGAACCATTTATTTCTACATACCGGTAAGCTATCACTTATGTAACATTACACAAATATTAATGTTAACAAATCTTTCAACAACTTTATACTCAATCTTTTACATAAAGTAAAAAAGTTGTGAAGCGTACAAACGCGTCTCACAACGTTCCTCCATGTTGGTATTATTATTTCTATTTAAATTCTATAACTTAACCTTTTCTTTGATGAAATTAAAATTGTGATTTCCGTAATTCAACGCCAAAATATTTATATTTACAGGTGACAAACCACATGGCTGCTCGATTTGTAACAAAAAATTTGCACTGGCTTGTAATTTAAGAGCACATATGAAGACTCATGAAGGTAAGCGTTCGGATTGTTGATATTATGAAACCCGTACTGGCCACCCCCACCCCTTCCTGTTCCTAGTGCAGTATGTGGCTCTGGTACCTAGAAGAAGAAGAAATTAGTGACAGTAGAAGAGTGGAAAAAAGATTACTCGAAATAGGAAAGAGTGACGGAAAAACATTGACATCGGCTTTTCTTTTATAAGCGTCGGCTTCAGTCCGAAGCATTGGACTCTTTGCAGAGTTCTCTGATGATGCCGACTGCGGACATGCAGGGTGTTCACACACATTTAATATCCATACATGCGAAGACAGAACAGTTTAATTGAAAATTTAAGAGGCTGGAAATATTGGTTTGATTGTGATATTTGAAAATTGATAAATTCGGATTGGCAAAGTCCTAGAAATTACTTGAGACTGTAATATATGTATGCTCACTTATACCCTTTTCACACTTTGGTTGCGTTATCGCGTTTCGAGGATAACGCATTTTTTTTACATTAAAAAAGCGATGGCAAAATAGTGTGTTTCAGTTTCAGTTGCAAGTGTTCGAAGTTCCGAGTTTTTAAAACCGTTTTGTCTGTCGTGTGACCAGTCACCACAAGCAACAGCATGAAATAGAAACAGCCCGCAAAACGGAACATTGGAATTGGTTCAAACCAATTTTATTCACGTGTACGTAAGCACAACAGAAAGGGCCGTGCCGAGACCTGACTTGGGTCATAGCACAGTGGACCCAACATCGAAGTCTACAATCGCTCAACGCGTTCCTCATGTAGGGGCTTATTGCGCTCAGTACGACAAAAAACTTCGGTGTGGGTGGCTTCCACAAATATATGTAATCATTATTAATCATATAATACAATTATATATACCTTTATTATTTTTATTTTACATATTTCAGACATTCCTTCAGGCTCCCAGATCAGTGATCAAGTCATATAAATGTACTCAGAGATAGCGATCAAATCACTAAAAGTGAAGCCGGAATCGGTAACCGCCCCAATCACGAGATGGCCCAGCAAGTTGCTTAGGTACTTTGCGGTAAGGTAATGAGTGCTTACACTAATCTTCATAAATCCCAGAAAAATAGTTTTTTTTTATAAGAGCATCCCAAAGGAATAACTGTTTATATAATAAATCACAAAGTGGAAGAGGAAAGTATCCCAGCGGTACCACAACGACCCGAAACCTTCCTAACCATACTTACCCCCCTCATAATAAAAATTATGAATGATAATAATATAAATTATTCTTTCTTTTTTAGGGTGTCTTCAAACGGACTTCAGTCAAGAATACCTTCTAAGCAAAAGTATTAGCATGGACCGAAAATACTTTAAAGGATTAACTTCTATTCATTTGTCAAAAAATGGTGTTGAGAATTCCTTAGGAGAAGTTACTATAACGGAGGATTTAGATAATTTTTATTTATTATGAGTTTAGTGACTGACTTTTTCGACTGACATTACTACAGTTTCTTACTCCAACGAAAATAAAATCTATCTAGTATTTAAGGTGTGATAATAACTTAAAAGAAAACAAGAAAACATATTTAAAATATGTTCAATTTTATTTATTTTATTTACGGCTACTATTTCGCATTTCTCATTGATTGTGGTTCCAAGAAATCGATTTAAGTTAGAAAATATTTTCAGAGGATTGTTGAACACATGAGAACATTTTTAAAACCCATACTCAAGGCACACACTTACTTTAAATATATGATAATTATAAATCTATATTTTTGTAAAATATATTTTTATATATACAAATGATTCTTTGCAAAAAGCAATGTACATATATTGCATCGATTACATTTAAAAAAAAAGTCCTAGTCAAACATACTTCTATAAAAATATGGCCAAGCAGTTGTGTCATGATTTTTTATGTGCTGCTAAATCTAACTGAACTTGCTGAAAATAAAAAATTAAACGGCTCTCTGACGTCTTTGTTGTTGTTTCAATTCTGTGGGTGCGTGGTGGTCTACGGTAAGGGATACAAATATTCAGGGAAAGCGACTGCCCAGTGCGTACCGTGGCACCCGCTTACTGTACACACCTAGTCGTCGCACCCTGGGTATATAGTCGGTTTTCAGGGAGAGGGGAAGGGGAAGGGACCTGTGAATACCAAGCCATCCGCTGCCAGCCACCGGGCGAAACAAGGAAGGTAACGGGAGGAGCAGAACACATCGGTTATTTTTAGCGCAAGATCTTTACTCCTATTGCCAGATTCTTCCGGACTTTCCAAAGCCGATAAAGTGGCCTCTGCATTAAGTCTCTGCTTGCGGTTTGTGGTCCAACTCCAAGGACATAAAAGTCTTAAATAGCGGCTAAAATTTACATGTATCGTTTTAATGCTTCTTGACATTATAACATTGTGCAGATATTCACAATGCATGTAAGCTGTATGTTACATTTATTATAGTTGATCATTAAAAAAGAGGACGGTTTTTTTACTCACTTAAATGTAAAACAGTTTGAGATACTTATTGATTTATTTGCTGTAATTATTGTGGGAATGTGGAAGAGATCACTAGCCGTTAGACAACAATGTTGTTTCAATGTTCTGTTGTCAATTACCTATTAATAAATTTATCTTCAGTGCCAGCCTGAAAAGCCTTTTTAAAGCCTTTTAAATAGATTCTTTTAGTAGACGTCCAACTCCAAGGACATTCATATATATTTTGATAATAAATGTGAACACAATGTGTGGTTAAGTATAGAACATTTTAAAGTTCATGAGAATTTACAATGCATTAGGATCTTGGAAATGTTTGGGGTTTTTTTATCGAAATTATGCAGACTTTTACATGAAAAGGTAAAAGATGGATGATAAAGTAGCAACCTAGAATAATAGGTGCAAGTTTTGTGAAAAATGTGTTTTTATAATAGGTTATGCATGCACTATAAATATCTTTTTTGGGTACCTCTTTATATTTACATTATGTCTACATAATATATCTAAATACATATATATATTTATATATATATATTATATGTATACATATATGTATATGTATCATGTATATATTTATTTATATTTACATATATGCATGCATGTACAATGTTTAGATACATGCAAATTAAATTGATGTTGCGAATGCATCTGACTGTGGTTTGTGCAGATTTAGTTAGTCTGAAGTAAGCAATTCTTAAGGTAAGGAGCTATTATATTTACTATGTCTTGGTGGTAATACTTAGCCTTGATGACTGAATGATTTTTGCTCTTCCTTAAACTGTAATTTTCTCCTTTCAGCACTTTTATGCGGATTAACAAAATAGAAATACCATCATAATGGCCTATTCATGGGATAACCGTGTTGATTTCGTTGTACGGTACATGTATGGTAAGTTCTAAAACCTTTTTTATATTCCAATACAATTCCCAGCTATGAGATAACTTTTTAGATATTCTGTTTTATAAAAGGATCGATTGGGGTTTTATAAGAAAGGTGTAGATAAACTCGTTTTTATTAAGTCCCAATGGCTAACTCTATTAATAACTAAAATTATTTGTCGATCTGCAGTGAATAGATATACAAACATACCCTGACTTTAAATTATTGCATTAAAAGTAGAGTACAATATTAAGCAACAATTAAAATATAATTTGCTAGTGCTGCAGTAGTAATTGTACCTTGAGCCAGATGTCACTCTAAACTAACACACAAAGCACATAATTAAAAATATTCAACAGCTAACAAGGTTTTTATAAATAGAAGATTGTGTCTTTCACTCGAAACAGTTGTGAGAGTGTGAGCGAGTGCAAAAAAAAAATAACAAAAGAAATCAACAGCACTTAGCGGAGCAACTATCTTGCCAAAATAAGTGTGTGTTTTAGTTTGTGATCAAAATAAAGCTGCATCCACACACAAAGAAACAGCCACACCAAAGGAAGCTCAAACCTAAAAATAATTTTCATTAACAACAAAATGTGGTACATTACAGCGGTTATTTTTAGAAAACCAAAATAACGGACGAGCTGCTAGGAATCCTTTTATAACTTCATGCCAGTCGAGTTAATAAAGCTTAATATAGATAATGATAACGAATATCGGAATTAGAAATAATTGACTACCCAAACAAACTTCGAACAATTCTCTACTGTAGTACGAAGGTTTGCTGATCTCGAACTTATGTCTTCCACCCTTGTGCGTTGCAAACCTAGTTGACCCATAAATAAAGTGTTACATTTCCTTAAGTAGACAATTATGCTCCTACGTTAGTTCTAACACCAACCCTTTAATAACATTATAATTAACTATTTTAATTTTCTTATTCGCTTTTTAGACATAGACAATAATGGATTTTTGGACCAAAATGACTTCCTTTGCATGGCAGTAAGAGCATGCGTTGTTGAAGGAAAGGGAGATTGTAGTGCTGCTCGGCTAGATGAATATAGGAAACTTATGACAAATTTATGGGATGAAATTTCAGCCATTGCTGATGATGATAAGGTATGGCAATATAAATAAAACCCTTTCAAAAAATATTCCAGCCTTCTCGGACGTAACACAGTGCAAAACAAAGATACATTTTTCACTATTCTTTAAAAATAAGGCTGTACAGTGACGCTCAACTGAATGGGTTAAACAATTATTTTATTTCATGTATTGATTAATTTTTAATGTGGTCTCTAGGTAACAAAAATATTTATAATATATTAATTTGTTTTCTAGAAACATTAAAAAAAGTTCTTGACCACCATCAACAGCCGTCAGTCCATGTCTGTCTGACCGTCCGTATTGATTGACGCCTCGTTATCAGAGACCATCAGAGCTATTATAACCTTATTTTATAGGCAGTTATTTTTGGAGCGTTTTCGAATTTGCACAGAAACTGAATGTACTTATGGTCTGAGAAAGATGGGCTTTCGAGGACTTTTTGCCGGAATAAGTGTTCTGCTTAGCACGCTTGACAAGGTGGGATCTATGAAGGTGCGTTTCTCCCCCACGTTGAGGTTGAGCTAGTCTAGGTTGTGCTTCAGCGCCCTCAGTATCATTGGCGGCTGACCCGGGCCTTCACGATGGTCTCCAGATGTAAGTCTCTCTACACTTTGTCGCTGGGGTGGCGTTTCTTGAGGCCATCTTCCCTAATCTTGGGTAGAGTCTTGGGTCCACCGCCTTCTTATTTACCTCGGGATGGCTTATTAGCCATGGACGGAACTATCACCTCCAGACTGCGCGCTTGAAAGCTTTGGGTTCGTCCTACATTCGTGCGAATGGGGATTCCCGCGTACACCAGTTTTCACCGGGCCTCCGTAATCTTCCCATTCCCACGTCACTGTCACGTCCACTGGGGCCCGCGTTGACGCTTACTCGCCGGAGTGTCCTTAACGGCACTCTCAGCTAATCGTTGCTTCTTGATGGATAGCATCTTCTCGAACTTGTTAGCGGGTTCAGCCGCGCACTCGCGCTCTGGACCTCCTGCTCCTGGCAGATGTCCGCATTACCTTACCTTCATGCTAGCCATGGCAATGTTTAAGTTCCTTATTTAAATATTAATTATAGCTAAGGGTCCGACGATTTCTTTTTGGAACGATAGTTTCTAATCATCAGCCATAAATTACTTACAAATTCTGTTATCGAAAATATTTTTCATTTATATTTTAGGATGGAAAAATTTCGAATCAAGAGTTTAAGGATGCCGTCAAAAAAACTTGCGTCGGCAAGAAGTATGAAGAGTTTCCCCAGGTAAGAGCTACAGTCGACATGACTTTATTATTAGTTGTTACAAACCTGTTTAGAAAAACTTTGCTGTGTTTAATTTAAGCAATACGAGTTTTATAATTACTAGGAAATATACGACTATATTCTTGGCTAACATTTGTTTTGCAGGCTATGAGGGCATTCATTGAATCGAACTTTAAACTGCTGGACATTGACAGTGATGGAATCGTTGGAGTAAAAGAATATCGTTATAACTGCATAACAAGAGTAGCCATCGATGATGTTTCACCCATAGACAAAGCGTTCGAAACGCTACTGAATGTGAGCCTTTTATGATCAAAAATGATTTAAATTTACAATTTAATTACAAAATGTCTTCATAGGATGAGGATCGTAAGCGCGGAGGCCTCTCATTAGACCGCTATAAGGAACTTTATGGTCAATTTTTGGGTAATACAGCTGATAACCATCCAGCAGTAAACCTGTTTGGTCCTTTATAATCAGTTAAATTTTAATTGTCTTCGCTGTTGTTCAACTACTATTTTATTAAGTTTTATTTGTAATTACTATGACTATAAATTTACTACCACTAAGATATAAAGCATTCACATCATTTTGTGTAGAATCGTCAGATAAAGAGTTCGTTAACTTTAAATTTGTATAACTAGATAGGTCAATTTGCTCTCAGAAGTTTAAAATAGTATGCAAATGTATGTTGTTTTGCTCTCATATAAAGGCTCTTAAGTAATTTGCCTCACTCTCGAAACCTGCAAGATATAATTATATTGTTGCGTTATAAAGAAATTGTAATAATCTTAGCCAACAAAATAAATCAATACTTAAATCACAGCTTAAAAAATCATTATAACATGTGTGTATTATTTAATAGTCTAGGGTAGACAACTCACAAAAATAATGAATCTTTGGGATTCGATTTACCCCCACCCACGAAATCATAAATAATGTAGACGGTTTGCCAACATGCGTTCTCGTAAAATACGAGATAAATTCCACAGACTTGCAACGATTAGCCTTGCAATTTATTGATTCTCATGTCAAAACCCAATCAAACTGAACACAGTTGGAATAAGGACTACCTTTTCTTTGCATTTTTCCATAATCCCATTTCCATATCAGAATATTAACGGTAAAGCGCGAACCTTTGCAAAAATTATTTTTATCGATCACACCTTTTGGAGTTCATTAGGCGGAGGGCAAGCGAGTTAAAAAATTACATCGGATGGTCACATCATCGCAGTCGGTCACGACCTCAACGGATTAAAGGCATAAAAATGATTTTAAAGATTCGTTCATATGTTTTGCTGCTAAGCTTACTGTCATTCCGAAATAAGGACGGCGATTTCAGGCATGCTAAAAGTAGATTTCGGAATGAAGGCAGGGTTTGACGAAATTCTCTAGACAGCGATTTAATGGCCTAACCAAGCCGTCTTGAATCACCTCGTGAATTCCACATCGTCCGGTCAACTATTTCAACCAAAGTACACTATTAAGAAAAACATACATACCTTGTTGTAACGCAATTATTATTAAAACAAAAATAATGCGTAAAAACGCGTTTCACAGCGTTCTCCTCGATTATTCAGTGTTTTATTAACTTTTATTCACTTTTCACAATTAATATCAAAATAAACAAAGCAAATTTGCTGCCTGAGCAGTGTAACCTTACGTCATGCAGTTTTCATTTTACATTTTCGGATCTGAGTACAAGGCTACCAGTCGCTCCGCTGTCTGCGACCACGGGACACGTTCCGTCAAGATCCATCGGATGTCATCACCACCACGGTGTCCCACTGCCTTGCCCTGACCCAGCAGAATATTAATTCTCTTTGGTTACCCCAAAAAAAAAAGGTTACTTACTCTCTGCAGCATCGTTCCTTACTGTTGGGCAACTCTACCCTTTAGCCGTTTGTTGTTTATGTTCCATTGTCCGCGAATTATTTCAGGATGAGGAATGTAGATGGAGACCCAATATGTTGTCCTATTAAAAAAATTCGCTTCCACTTTGAGAAGTATGTTCGTGTGTAAGAGCCCTTTAGTAGAGGTACTACATCCGATGCATATATACATACGGATCCCTTCTACGTTCCATGTTTCCATCGTTTCTACGTAATATTTTCATTTACTGTTTTATGTGTTGTTTTGTTTTTGTTCAAAGAAAATCAAAAAGAAGGAAGTAATGTGAGTGCAAAATTTACTTTGTGTTAAAAACTAGTATAAATATTTAGAGTCATAATAAAAAACTGCAATATGTGTGTACACACATTTATTTTTGAATGAATACTATTCACATTGTAGAAGATTATACATTATTTATGTATGTGTGCATGTGTGTACCTACATGCATAAACAAAAAACATCAAAAATTATAAAATGATCAAAACTGTATGTATATTAAGCGTGAAATTAACTTATGTGAAACAACCATTTTTATGAATATTCTCAATAAATCATATTAAATAAATGTAATGTACATTCGTCGTATATGCACACATATAAAGATGTACATATTCATTCAAAATTTCGTATGTAAGTTCTGCATATAAATCGTTGTAAATGTATATTTTGGCAGAATGACTGCATGCATTTTACTTTAATAATTGTTATAACAAAAATAATTCAATACAAAATGTATAGCCTTATAGAAAGGAGTTGGAAAAGTGAAGTGTGATTTAAAATTAAATCTTGAGAAAAGATATGTATGTATGTACATATGCACATATGCATGCATGTATATTTTTTGAAATCTCCCATTAAAAAGTCAGTAAACTCTCAGACTCCATTTAGTTCGAGATTATAAGAATGTTTTTAATATACATATGTACGTACGTATGTACATATGACTGAAACGGTGCCCATAACCATATATTGGATACGCTCAGTGTACACATATGTATGTATGTACATATTTATATATTTATCTATGTATGTACATTTGTATGTAAATCGACAAAAGAGAAACTTTTTCAGAATACATTCATTAGAATTCGCATAATTTAGAATTGAAAAGTTTTGCCAGAAAAAAGAATACTTTCATCTGTACGTCTGTTGCTTTGCAAACTAGTCAAGATGGAATTTATTTGTGTTTCATATGCATGTTTTCTTTTAAATCAGCTTATTAGGTTTAAAGAAGGGTAGAGAACAACAGGGTAGGGAACATGAATAAGAATATAAATAGGGGTAGGAGTAGGGCCTGAAGTTCTGCTTAGCAGGGTCGGGCGGGTCACCTTTGACCCCCTCCGTCTGCTCCAGCTCGTTACATTTCCGTATGACTTCTGACGAAACTCCGCATGGCCTTGACGTGGATACCTTCTCTGGATACCATCTTCGAGTTCAGGTTCCCGGCGTTCAGCGTGTCTCCACCTACATACATATGCTAAATTCGCTGTTAGGCGAACCTTGAACAAGTGAAGATGATTTGCTCAGCGGTGTCTTATACACCGCACGACGGGCAGTTGGCCCGGCATTTATGTTAACCATGATTAAATTATACAAGGTGGTGTATTCTATGTTTCATTATAGTCACACACATCCAAATGACTACTAAAACACTTGTTTTGCATGCATGCAATCATGGCGAAGTTTTGCAGTTTCATTTGAAACTTCACGAACAAAGTAAGCCACGAAGGACACTACGCAAAGCACTAAACTTTGTTCGTCTTCAAAAAATGATGTAACTGGACAAACACACAGAAACAAAGGAACAGCCAAGTAGTGGACTTCTTCCAAAGACCAAAGGTCAGATTTTGTAGGAATATTCCGAATCAAAACACTTTACAGATATCTATCTGATAATGAATAAGCGCTGCGCTTTAAGCCGAATATGTATCTCGCTAAACAGCTTAGCTATTACCACATGCGTAGTGCGGATTCGGATACATTAGAAGACCCAAGCAATTTTCAGCTGAGTCAACAGCATTAAGGTAGTCCAGAAGAGTCCGAAATGTTACATTTCCATCGTCCAATCGGTCACGTATTTGTGTTTTACAAGTAATTTTCAAATGGGATCTGCTATTAAAAATACAAATACAAAAACTTTCTATAGGTTCGTAAGTACTAGGATCTATGTACTTTCAACTTTCAGGGAATATTATTGTTATCATGCATTATTCTCAAAATATTTGTGTTCATATCATTGAGGCCAATAGAATTCGACTTAAACTTTAAAATGGAGCTTTACACATACAACAACAGGATTTAAACCTATTATCATAATTACCATGATGTATGAACAATAGACATAGGATGGGTGGGAAGTCAGTTATTACGAAATGCACAAATTTGGTTTTCAGTTCATTAACGAGAAAGGTTTGAGACGCGTATCCAGAACTGAGCCAACAAAAAATTCCTGTTAATCTTCATATAAAGCCGGGTATCCAGCACTGGGGAAAATAAAATTTCCTATCCAGTTTCCAGCAACCTGAACGAAGTCCACAGATTATAGATAGACAGCTGGTAGACAGGCCAGGAATAAATGGTTTACAATTATTCCTGGAGTTAAAAGTGAAAATTGAAGAAACAACTGTGCCAAAAAACGTAAAACAAAATCTTTTCCCATATTGAATTAAAATTTTTTACTGAAATTAAAAAAGTAATTCTTAATTATTGGTGCACTTTGAGATTATTGGCTTACCCAAAATGCATTTCCCATGCAACGTTAAAATTCTCTCTTTTTTCCTTTTTAAATTTCAGTTGAACGTTCAAACTGCCACTGTTTACAAAAAAAAAGCTGATTATTCAAATTAAGCAAAGCAAGGTTTTCACAATGCGAGGGTAAAATCCCACAAAACTCTACATAGGAATATCTTAAATTAATAAATAAATAAGACCGTAAATTCTCTTTCGTCGATTTCCTGACGCTCTGCTTAATTTTGTTGAAAAATAGTCCTTGCACATTGGTCCAGATTGCCGATTTTTGTATATTTCCGATTTTCATAGAAGTAAAAACTTATTTGAAAGATACAAATACTTAAACTAACACCCTGACAAAAAAATTCATAAATATTGTGTTAGTGCAGCCCTACAATTTGTGCAAAGTCAGATGTTCGTGGAATCACATTAAGAAAAGGTGAATGTAAAAATTGGGACAGAAAGAACCACTGGGGCTCGTAGAAAGATTTTGTTATATTCTTTTTTTTATTATTATTCTGCGCTCTTTTAAATTAAGCCCAGTACTCCGATGAGATAATTTTTCGGTCGACCGAATCGGGGATGATGTTTTTATGGAACGGAAAGAAATTATCCCTGCGTTTTGTAGGACAGAAAATTTAGCAGCCAGTTCTGTGCTCAGATAAGAAGAAAAAATACCAGAAAAACAACAGAATGGTATTGTCCCCTCTCGAACGGAATAGAAATTCTTTCCATCTTATGTCGAAAAAAGTACTAATAATGGGGCAATTTTAATCTTATCAATGCATTCGAAAGTAAACTAAACCAACTTTAGCCAAAATCGAACTATTCCAAATTAATGCAAAAAGTGAATTTTTAGTACCTGATATTATATTATTTTCGACCGTTCGTGACCGTTCTACTTTTACGGGTTTTGCATTTTTGCAGCTGAATCGGCAGACGAAATAATCTCACAAAATATGATTCAATTCTTGTTTGTTTAGTTCTGTAATAAGGATAAAATTATACCTGATTGGTGAATGATTAAATCTTTATATTTAGGTGTATGTGTATGCTAATATGCAATACGGCAGCACAGCAGCAGGAAAACATAGATTCTTACTCTGAAATACTTACTAACGAACCACCAATTCCAATTCCACAATCTTATCGTGGTGTTATTTTTTGTTTATACTTACTGCTATTAACATTTAGTGGAAAACTACCATAAATTCGATTCGACTTATCGACTAATTTTTCTTTTCACAAAACATAAATATTTCTTATAATTTTCGCTTGTCTTTACAGTTATAATTAAATTTTATTTATTTTTTTGAAAATATCTGCATTAATTTCATTGAAAAAAAAACACAAATAAACAATTAGACTTCGAATTGTTTCGCTTCCCTTATTCCAAATGTTAGCAGTGCTGGGAGTCGTATCGTGCAATCACCCTTAAAATATAAAATACACAACAATTTTTACTGGGACCACCCTGTTTTTCTTCAACCTTGATATCTCATGTGGTAGTGGCGAGGGTCTTATGTTGAGGAAATAGCTATTTTTTTCGTTTTCTTAGACACAATTTCACATGAAGACTTAAAATATAGATACAGTGTTTTGTGTTTGAATATTTATATTTATGTGATTTGACTCATTTTAAGAGAATGGATTGGATATGTACCATAAGCAACTGATTGTGTTTAATAATTAGTATTTCGTCGCCGACGCCATTTTGTTTGCCTTTAAATTCATTCATTTATAGATGGAACTTGGAAAAAAAAGGTAAATTTGTTGGTACAATACAGATATTCTGTAGAAACAATTGTTAGTTCGTGTGGCATGCTTGGATCGTTGCATTTTACATACAAATACATGATCTTATACATATTTTAATTTGCGTCGCTTGTGTTTGCATTTGTGAGATTGTTTGAAGGCACATATGCATATGTACATACATACATATGTGAGTATGTACATATATACCAATGAGCATACATGTGTACTCATTTATTTACGAATATATGTTTGTACATTTAACGATTAATGAATTTAAATACTTAAAAATTAACTCATTTGCATAAAATGTATCTCTCCATCTATTTATACATTTAATAAGAGTTAAACAAATTAATAAAAAATTAAAACGATTTTGCTTTATTTCAGGTATAAGGGTGGTCGGACACCTTCAATAAGGTCCAGTGAAAGGCGACGCCCTCAAAGTATTTCATCATTATCCACATTATCTCCGAGAGTTGTATTATCCAGATTGGAACCTAGGGATTTGGAGCGCCTTCGATTATCCTACAAAGTTGCAATCGACCAAAGACGATCAAGAAGCTGCCGTGGCATGAACATGGGTCAAAAAATTAGTGGTGGAGTTAAAACAGTTAGTCGTAATGATTCGCAGGCTACCTTTAAACCAATTATACCAAGGGAGCTACAAGCTGATTTTTTAAAGCCAGCGCGCATTGATATTTTGCTTGATATGCCACCAGCGATTCGAGAACTTCAGCTTAAACATTCTTGGAACTCTGAAGACAGGTCGCTAAACATATTTGTGAAAGAAGATGACAAGTTGACATTTCACAGGCATCCGGTCGCGCAGAGCACAGATTGCATCCGTGGAAAAGTCGGCCTCACAAAGGGATTGCACATTTGGGAAATTTATTGGCCAACGCGACAAAGAGGAACACATGCAGTTGTTGGCGTATCCACAGCTGATGCACCCTTGCACTCAGTTGGGTATCAAAGTCTAGTTGGATCTACTGAACAAAGCTGGGGCTGGGACTTAGGCAGAAACAAATTGTACCACGATTCAAAAAATTGTGCTGGTGTCACATATCCAGCAATTTTGAAAAACGACGAAGCTTTCCTGGTTCCAGACAAGTTCTTAGTAGCCTTAGATATGGATGAAGGAACCTTAAGTTTTATTGTTGATCAGCAATATCTTGGTATTGCGTTTAGAGGGCTGAAAGGAAAAAAACTGTATCCAGTTGTTTCAGCGGTCTGGGGACACTGCGAGATAACTATGCGCTACATAGGCGGATTAGATCGTAAGTATAATTCAAATATATATAGTAGCATGCCATTTTTAATAATTCTTATAAACACTTGCGAACTAACTTATTATTTAACTGTAACATAAACAACTCCAAACCTACCCAAAACAAATTCGGGAACGATCGGTCTACGGTCTTATATATTTAGGTTCCATGTAAATAACCCGTTTTTCTTTTTTTTAAATATAATACTACCCTATCAGTCAAATTTAATTGATTTGGTAATAATCACAATAATAGTTACCCGCTTATGAGCCTTCTTTCACGACTCGTAAAAATTTGTTAAGTAAACATAAAAAAGGAGATCCCATTATAAAATGATTTTACACAGGACAGTGACTCCATCGCATAATCGGACCCTTTTTTCATCTGCACAAAGAATATAAAGAAATAATCCAACAGTTTTTTCACTTTTTATACAATTTTATAGTATCACTTATCAATATCATAAATAAAAACTCAAACTTTTTAGTGAGAAAAGTTAGTTTTGATTGAAAAAAGTAATGTCTTGAGGCTCAACGCATAATCGGACAGGGCAAAAGTGCCAAAGTAAAATCCAGTTTTTTTTTTCTAAAAATCTCTTCAGTCTCGGTTTTTCTTATCGTATGTATGCAATGGATGCCTGGATATCTACCAGACATAAAAAATACAATTTGTTGCTAATCTATCTAAGGGGTGGGTTCCGTACGAAAACGAAAAGTATGCTCGTATTTTCGTAGTAGTAGTTCCATTATTTTGAATTCCACATGGTGCGTAACAAATCTGCATAGCGGATGTTATTAATGGAGTTCTTATTATATATATAAAAATAAATATACTCTAAGCTTTTAAAAATTATGATTGGTATTTAAGTAATTGACATCCATCTTAAGTTAAACACAAATTTTTACTGTTCTTTATTTAAGCTGAACCCTTGCCGCTAATGGATCTTTGCCGACGAACTATTCGGCAAAAAATTGGACGGGCAAACTTGGAAGAACGCATACAACAGCTTCAACTTCCATTGTCGATGAAAACTTATTTATTGTATAAAAACCGTAGATAATATTTTTGATAAGTAAAAAGTGTACCAATTTTAATTTTTGCTGCATGTGATGAAAGCAGTAAAAAAACACAATTAAGTTAGTTTATAATAGTCTTAGATCAATGTTAGTTTTTCTGTCTTCTACCAGAAAACGTAAAAGGTATAAAATATATAAATACTTGAATATAGGTTTAAAAGGTTTATTGTATATTAAGTCGCATGCAATTAACTGTATTTATAGAAAACGACATCTCATTTTGCAATAAATTGAGGAAACGTACGTTCTTCATTTAAAACTTATATTCCTAAAAATAAAAAATATTTAAAAATACTCCACGTGGTATATATATAAAATATATTTGTAAAATACATTACACGCAAATATACCCATTCGAAGTATATTTTTAGTTTTAACGAGCTACTTCTGATCGCGTATATTTTGTGTATATTTTATATATATTTGGTATGCTCAAACTGTCTCGAATTAACTTATTACGGGAGAATAGATTCGTATTAAAAAACAGTTTTAATAGGTGCAATAATTTAAAAAGAATGCAGTTAAAATGAATTCTCTTGAATGCTATCAAATTTTGGTTAACAAAATATGCATAGCAAATTATATGCATACCCAAAAAATTCTCCAAATATTCTCCAACCTTCTAGACAAAGCTTCACCGTGACGAACATTTTAAAACCCGAACTAAATCGGGTATTAAAAGCGTTGCGTTAAGAGACAAAATTGAATTTCGAAATACTGCCATTGAAATATAGGGCAGTGCATTTCATTATTTAATTTTTCAAATTGAAATCTGTATTAACTAAGCTGAGTAAATATATTAATAAACCTTGTTGTGTTTCAAGTATGACAGCTTTATTTCTTAGCTTCAATAATACGAACAAATATTTATCTATTTTGTGCTGATTGTCGTTCGAATTGGAGAAGTTTGACTGGTATGCTCAATAAACTGCGGTTAATCGTAATGCGCGTTATGCGTTGTATAGTTTTTAACAATAAGCTTCCAAGTAATCATAAATTGTGGCTTTTATTAAATAAGCCAAATTTGAATATAACAATTATTTGGAAATGATTTTTGTAAACAGTTAATTTTAAAATGTGTACTTATATTGTATTTTAGATTGTTTGTTCGTAAGTTTATTATTAAAATTCATGACATTTAATAAAGACCTAATTTAACAGACACAATCATCAGACCATCAGTTGTAGTTGTATCGGTCCATTTCTTGTGAACCGTCAAAGTTTGAATATTTTTCAGTTTTATGGGATTCTGATATGAAGTTGGACCAGGAAAATCAATATTCGAAGGAATATTTAGTTCTTAGTAGTTTTGGTAAAAACGATCGTCGTACATATGTTACAGTCAAATTATATTGCTGATTTTGTCTAAGATCTTCAGATTAGCCATTACTTATACCCGGTACTAGAAGAGTAAATCATGTGTATAGTGTTTGTGGTCGAAAAATTGCAACACACAGAAGGAAACGCTTCCGACCCTATTATGTATATATATTCTTGATCACTTAAATAGCTAAGTCTAGTACCATAAAAAAAACCAAAAACCCAGTTCCGTAGAGAATTATTATATCTATCAGATCCCTGAATTAACATCAGATTGGATCATTATTATAGACGGAATAAAGAAATTTATTTGCATATGTCAGAGCAATAAAAATATAATCTTTTAAGTGCGGTCGAACGAAAACTGATTACATATATAGATATTATAAGATTATACTCGGTAATCATTTTATCAATTTATAATGAGTTAAAACGCATGTTCATTGCAGCTCTGTCCCGCCGGAACGGGCTCGTCCAGGGCTCTGCACGCTTACATCGCTTTTCATTTTTGCGTTTGCTTGCGAAGACAGCACGCAAAACGGAACATTGAAATACATTTGAAATAGAATTAGAATACTCGCGTCAAATCCCTGACCCTATGTACAATAGAGAGGGCCGTGCCGATCCCGGGACTTATGTAATAAAACGGTATTTTTTTTCCAAGTTCCATATCAGTGTACCCAGAGATCATGCACTTTGCCCACTTTTGGTCATACTGGTCACTGAGTGAAATGTTTGGCACTTTCAGTCGCAAGAAAACGTAGCTCATCTGAGTACTTTTCTTCACATATATGTATACGAGTGTACATATATTCTTTGCTCACTCAGTATAAAATCGGCATAAAAGCTGTGAAGTGTTCCAGCGCATCTCACAACGTTCCGCCTCGTTTTGCATGGACTGGAACAACTACATAATGTAGAAATCCACGATATATCGCACAATTTCAAAGAATGGATACTATCGATAGTGGCACCGATGGTGTTTGCAGCCCTGCGTTACACAGGAACATATATATATTTGTTTGTTATTATTAATTACCGTAGGAGCTTAACATGAAATCTGAAAAACTGAAAAGGAACTTTTGGGTTACTGCTGAAATAGAATGCATGCTTAAGTTAATAGGGGAGTTTAATAATGTACAAAGATCTATATCTGCAAATACGACACAAAACACATTTAACCAAATTGCCAATAGAATGAAAAAAAACGGATTTCCAAACAAATCACCCACGCAAATACGAAGAAAATGGTTTCAAATGAAATCTGCGTATCTATGTTACAAAAAAGGCAATATAGACCGACTGTTTCTTATACCTGAAAGATTTCGTAATGTAATTGCACAGTTCGTAGAAAACGGCGATAAGTTAGGGCGTTCATGTAGTAACTCGACCATATCGCCGACTAATCAATCAAATAGCTACGGTGAGTTGAACTATTACCAAAACATTTTATAAAAGTATCTGTGCATACATACATACATATGTACCTACTAATGATGCATTTTACCTATATTTTTAGAAGTCAATTCTTTAGTGATGGATAAATTTTTGAACCAAGTCAAAAAGAATAATAAATTAGTTAATTTAGAATATACAAAACTGGAGAGATCTCTCTTGCAATACGAACACAAATGGCAAATCGTTCGAGATGATAATATAATTAAAAATATTAAATAGTTATATTGTATTGTAACAAGTTCATTCTCTTAAATGAATGCTAAATATATTTTCTTCTATAGGTTAATCTTGTTGATCAACTTTTCCGAATGGTTCTTACGATGGCGGGCTGATAAAAAGTCGACCTACTAAATACAATCTAAAAGCTCGTACCTTACGTATCTTTTCCAGCATTTCTCCAACATTTTGTAAGTCCCCCAAAGAATAGGATTTGTCGAGGTCGTGAAAACTTTAATTTTTCGTGAGATGCCTTCAACGTTGAACTCAAATCTATTTCCGCCCAGGCGTTTCTTCAGGATTGATGAAACAAAATAGTCATGGAATTTTTTATAATTGGCCTGCCAAACTAGTACCTTAACAACACAATTAAGACATGCATATAAAAAAAGACCAAATCCCATGTTATCAGCAACTAATTCCAGCTGTTTAGGTGGCGTGTTGTCAAGGTGAAGCGAGGATTGCTCATCTTCAGTGGGTTGACCTTTAAATTCCACCTCTTGGACGAAGCTGCGTTGAGGTACTCTTGTACACTATCTACTGCCTCATTGTGGCATTTCGAGCTGTAAAGCCGCCCGATATTATTTTCGTATGCCGCAAGTAGATTCTTCCTGGGAATGTTGTAAGAGTTGCGCTGTGATCCGTTAGTGTAAATGATTTTGCAGTCCTTTAGCTTGTGTTTTATTTCGTTTAATAGTTTTATATGGATGTATGTATATATTAGGGGTTTTCGTAACTGCCAAGATGGTTTTGAATTGAGGATTCTTTTGGGTTGGCAGGGTACATACGTATGTTATATGAAACCTTATATTTTTGTGGCGCTAAACGAAGATCAACAATTTAAAAATGTATTTCTCAAAGTTATTAACTAAACCCTAGGAGTCTTAAATCGTGTTGCGTCTGTTTATCAAGAGATGTAATATCTCCCAAGGGTTTCTTTCAAGTGGGAATTTTAATGTATTTTTAAGTATAATGCAACTTTACCATGAGCTTTTATTAGCGGTATAAAAAGCTCCTGAGCATTCGTTGGTATATGTTCTTCAATGCTCAGAACAACTGCGCACACGGCACGCGCACAATATAGCTGAACCATCCTTTAAAAAGCTGCAGCTACTTCAGTCACCGCTTTGTTGTCAGAATAATCGGTAATATTATAATAAGCACGAAAAATGTTTTTGCCTCGTTTAAAATATATTGTTGTTATTAATTACTGACGAGCTGGACTAATATGGTAAATACATAGAATGTACATGTCCGTCACGATGAATAATTTTTCCTGTGCTATACCGCTAATTAAATAGAGAATAGAGACGTACAGTAACATAAGCTAAAAGCCATTCAAGTGGTAAGTTATTGCTTAATTAAAATAAAGTTGCGTGAACCAGCGAAATTTAAACCTGTAGTTTAAAATAAGTGTCTTTGGTGAACGAAAGTGCAAGTATAGCAAAGAAAAAAGCTTAGAAACATTCGGGACAATTGCACACTCACAGCGCTTGTTTTTTGGCCGCTTTATGCTTCTGAGAAGAACACATTCGACTCAATGAAGTATACATACATATGCACATTAAATTATTTTTTGATCAACACCAATTGCCGGTTTAATTTAGTCACGTTTCTTAGCCCGTCGCAAATTGTTGCTTTCATATGTACAATAAAATGTTACACAATATTTTAATATCTTAAACAAAGTTCCACATGGGCTTCAAATGTATCTAAGCTAATTATGGCTTAAACAATTCCAGAAACCGATCTATGAGCATAAAACTCTTTTAATATAGGGATCTAATTTTATATACTGAGTGTAAGTATATGCAGAGTCCTTGTGAATTGGGAAAGGATAAACTTTAAAAACCAAAATTGTTTTTCATTCCAACAAACAAACAAAAAACTTCTCAATGCATTAAGTCAACATATTTTCTTTGAGTACAAAGTTTGGAAGCAATGGCACTGAAATCATCAGACCCGAGCTTCGCCTGCAACAACTTTATTTCTTACTTGTAGTTATTTTATATTCCGGGTGTAATCAAATGATGTTTTATTTCTTTATATTACAGGTTATTTCTAACGAGGAAATCCAATAGCGGTTATAAAAAATGGGTTGGACATTAATATATTTTTTAAGCTGCATACAGATAGTATTTTCTTTTCCTGAAACTGGTAAGTAGTACAAATACATTAAAGATGTTAACAACCTAGAAATTTAGAAATTATTTGTCCAAACATTTGATTTCAATTGGTTCTATTTTAATATGTATACTTAAATATTTAGAAGAAATAGGAAGAAATAAGAAATAAATTATATTACAATAAGCGTCCAAAATTAATGAAGTTCAAGTTTATTTCTTGGTGTAATTATTTGCTGCTTTATTAAAAATATATTTATTGGTTTATTTCTTAACATTTTTAGATGTTTCAAGCTTTTTCGATACACAAGGACCTAGTTTCTCAATCGAACCTCCGGGTAGGGTCGAATTTATGAACAATGCAGGAAACACAGTGGATTGCGCCGCTAATGGAAACCCTCCGCCAAATATTCAGTGGCTCGATAAAGAAAATAATCCGATTTCATCAATTTTTAAGGTATGGTTTGATAGCTGAATTTCCATTAAAGTACAATGTTTCCAACATGTTATTTGAAATAACTCAAAAGTGATTAACATACATTTGGGTTTCTCGATAGAACCTCGATAGAACTTTGGTGTACACCTTTGCCTCATTGTATAGTTAGACTTACGTGTATAAACTTCTTCATATTTTTACCTTAATGTTATATTTTATTATATTCGGTTAATGTTTCTTCTAGGCTCGGCATGTTTTGGCTAATAGCTCCCTATATTTTCAACCATTTGCTGCTGAAGAGTTTCGCCAGGATGTACATTGGTCAATCTATCGCTGTACTGCAAGTAACAGCGTAGGAACCATTATATCCAAAGATGTTGTGGTCAGAGCTGGTATGTATAGCCTTGTCAAATA